TATGCATTGGGCAAAGGAACCGAAAAGGTGCGCCGTAATATGGACAAGGCTCAGAGATTCTTTGGTCAAGCACCCCCGGCAGCCATCACTCGTGAACCGGTTTCTCGGGAGCCTGTCAAGGAACCCGAAGAGACACCGTGGTTCTTGAAAATGGACCACGAGGGCGAGGTGTTCCACGACACTAAGAATGACACGCCGATTCTCAAATGTGGAACCCTGTCTGGACTGGTCGAACACCTCACCCGCCATGACAAACTGGATGCGTCCTTCAACAACACTTTCCTCCTTACCTATCGCTCATTTACCACTGCCTCGGAGCTATTTGAGATGCTCGTGCAGCGTTTTAATCTCCAGCCTCCATTTGGCTTAACCGCCGAAGACATGCAAATGTGGATTGACCGGAAGCAAAAGCCTATCCGTTTCCGAGTCGTTAACATCTTGAAGAGTTGGTTTGATCAATTCTGGATGGAGCCAAACGATGAAGTGAACATGGATCTCATGCAACGCGTTCATGACTTTACCAAGGATTCTATCGCCACCACAAAAACCCCAGGTGCTCCTGCATTAATTGCTGTACTCGAGCAACGCCTCCGTGGCCAAGACACAACCAACAAGCGTCTAGTCCCCACCCAGAACACCGCATCCCCGCAGCCGATCATTCCAAAGAATATGAAGAAGCTTAAATTCCTTGATATCGATCCTACAGAGTTTGCTCGGCAGTTGACCATCATTGAGTCGCGCCTCTACTCCAAGATCAAACCTACTGAGTGTCTGAACAAGACATGGCAGAAGAAGGTCGGCCCCGGTGAACCAGAACCGGCTTCCAACGTGAAGGCCTTGATTCTGCACTCCAACCAGTTGACAAACTGGGTTGCGGAGATGATCTTGATGCAAGGTGACGTCAAGAAGCGTGTGGTGGTAATCAAACACTTTGTAAATATTGCTGATGTACGTTGATCCACTCTCCCCCGCCCTGCCCTTGTCGTGTTACTAACAGCATGATGCAGCGATGCCGCACTCTCAACAACTACTCGACTTTGACATCCATTATCTCCGCACTTGGAACTGCCCCTATCCATCGACTAGGCCGCACGTGGGGCCAGGTTAGTGGTCGTACGTCTGCTATCTTAGAGCAGATGCGTCGCCTAATGGCAAGCACCAAGAACTTTGGCGAATACCGAGAGACCTTGCATCTTGCGAACCCCCCCTGTATTCCATTTTTCGGTATGACACACCACCTGCTGGGCAAGGCACAGACCTGCATTGGGGATCCCCCAGTATGATTTGCAGTCGTGTGACTCACATATCCTTGTCTAGGTGTCTATCTTACGGACTTGACTTTCATCGAAGACGGTATCCCTTCACTGACACCATCGGAGCTAATCAACTTCAACAAGCGGGCAAAGACCGCCGAAGTCATCCGGGACATTCAACAATACCAGAACGTCCCGTATCTCCTTCAACCCGTACCCGAGCTCCAGGATTATATCCTCAGTAACCTCCAATCTGCCGGTGACGTACACGACATGTATGACCGGAGTCTCGAAATCGAACCCCGGGAGCGCGAAGATGAAAAGATTGCAAGGTATGCTGAAACCACACACAGAGAGAAAGGCTCCTTGCTTTTTGCAAGTACCGTCGCTATTTTGCGATGATTTTTTCCAGCCTGTTTTGTTTTTGCTTTTTTTCGTTTGGTTTATTCCTGGACATGGTGCCTGGCTTGTTTCGGCGATACCCAAATTTGACCTCATATTTCACATTTTCTTTTTTGAATTGCTTTTTTGGGAGCAAGAAAGGCAACGTTTTGAACCTTGTTTGAGATGAGACTAACCGCCTTCGATTTTGAACCGCGTAGATTGCTCTCAGAGTCAGGTTTCCTGTAGGATGTGGCGGAGACCCCTGTCCCCCTGCAACCTGCGGGCGCCCGTCGCCAACCGATATCGTGGCCCACCCGCTGCCACACCGATTTGCATTCGAATGCATCCAATCAGGATTCTGGGATAGACGACGTCGCCAACTCGGGAAATCATGTGTCTCACCGTCACGCAGCTAACACATGCTGTTCGGCGGCCCCTTTTGTTGGGGGGCGCTGGATCCTGCGACCGTGCCGAATATTAATTAATTAGTCTCCGCACGAATTCCGCCACCCGAGATCGTCCACGCCAAACATGCCGCGGAACATGCCATACCAGTGAGCAATCCTTGGATGTCTTTGTCGGCCCACCACTGTTGCTATCCGGCAATCCAGTGGGGAATCGGCCCGGAACCGAGGGCTATCTTCTCGTGAACCTGGTCCACACGCAGTTGTCCTCCGCTTATGCATGATTCTATCCATCACTTCACAATGCGGGGATCCTTACTTTCTGCATTTAATACAACTATTCCCGTTATAGATTTCATCTCCGGGAACTCGACCGGGGAACACTCCGATTTTCTCTAATACCTTTTTTCGGAACCCTTGACCCCTGGGTACTCCGTACACCAACTTGACTCTCACTTCTCTCAAATTTACTCTAACTGTCGCACATTCTGGTCAATTTACGGTGTATTTCTTGGCCATTCGCTCACCTGATTCTCTTTGTCCCCCGACTACTCTACCCTGTCACTTTCTGCATATGCTTTCTCATTTGTCGACGGAGTGGGTGAGCTATATCCCGTGTTAATGTTTGGATGCCACCTTTAATGATATATCACGACTTTCAAGTCCCCTCTGCATGCCAGACGGGCTTTTTTCTCTCACACTTTCTTCGACTGCCCGTCATCGGAGCAGAGATACAATACAATTCTCCCATCGATTGGCTTCTTTGTATCTATTTTGTTTCTATTTTCATCTGATGTTATACCCTGGGTTCGATTGTGAAACGGGTCAACAGAAGCCTTTTCATAAAAAGATTTTTTTTTCTTAGCCTTCCTTGTTTGAGCGTCTTAACTGCATCCATCCATCCATGAATCTGACCTGTCACTGACTATTCTTACCTATTTGGTACTAGTAGCACTGGTAGTACATGGGCATGCGAGTCTAGAATGTACCATCTGTACCACAGGTTGCAGATGAAAATTCAAGGAATTATTTTATTTTCCCAGTTCATCTTTCGGGAATTTAAACCCACTTAAAGGTACTTATTTATGTGATGTGTACTCCGTAGCAAGTTGGTGCTGATTGGTAGATGAAATCGTCTTTGTTTGCGAAAGAGCTGCCAAGATCTATATGAAAATGGCAGTTGTTCTTCGGATATGTTAATCCTGAAGCAATGGAATATCGACTCGCTAAACGCCGGGGACATCATATGAAGTTCAAAGGTAGAGAAGCGTAACAATCGTAGCAGTATCTATGCCATCATGGACCTTTTCCAAACGGCTTTCCCTTACTCTAAGCCGCTGGGGCGGGCTTATCCCCAATATCCTGGAAGAGTTTCATTTTGACCTCGGAGGCCAAGAGACCTTTGACTTCCTCTGATACGATCCGCTGTCCTCCACGCACAACCTTATCAAGTTGTTGATCCTTGACTGTGGTAGCTCCGCCCCGCGGACCGCTAGCCTCGATTGCCCGTGTCGCCTTGCGGGCCTTCTCGCTGAGATCCATCATCTGCTTACTTCCATAGTCACGAGAGGCGAACAGTGGACTTTGGCTGAGAGTGGCGACCCAGTATTTATTCCATAGTAAAGACAATATGTCCGTCTCGAGTGTGCTCTTGAAATGTGTTGTTTCAAGGGAATAGTACTGATTCGCGTGTGCGCCAAAGTCCTCCGACTTGCCGAGCGGGATAGTCTGATACTCGTCATCTTCCTGAGCTTCCTTGGACGGGGTAAAGCCATCGGGAAAAGTGCGGAATGCGCCGATCTCAACGCGGCCCGCGGAGATCGTGCGCTCGGGATCGATCACAACGGCGACAAACGGCCCGGTCATTTGCTGAGTTTGTTGTGTGGCCACATCAATTCCGGATAGCCAGCATCCGTACCCTGGGTGACTGTGGTACCAGCCCACAGCATTCTCCATGCGTCCCGCATCTCGACACGATTGCAGATATGATACCATGTACTCGTTCGCTTCGTCCTGTGCGTTGACCCGGGTTTCGGTGCCCTCGACGGGGAGGCGGAATGCATCGGTCACGACGAACGTCTCCCAGAGGATGTAGCCTTGCATAAGACCCATCACTTCCAAAGACCCGCCCGAGCGAGCGTGCATCACCATTTTCAATAGTGCGGTTGCGGAGATGCGTACTGATTTGAAATAGTAAGGGTCCGAGGCCCACGGTCGCTGGGCATTGAGGGTTTTCTGAGTCTCTTCATCGTATTGATAAAGGGCATCACGCTGCGGGTCGAAGACGCTGATGGAGTTTTCAAGCTCTGTCAGTACACATTGGTTAGTCCTTTGTCAAATTGATCTTTCGGATTTGGAGCTTGATGAAGAGACAAACACCTACCCCAGGACTGCTGTGCAGCCTGCATTTTTTGAACTTTTTTTTTTGTTTTTCAATATAGAACCTTTGAGTTGGATAATTGAAAGACCGAGTAGGAGTTTCAGGCGAGGGGGGGGTAAATCAAGGAAAGCGCGGGGGAAGAATGAGACTATAGAGGGGAAGATGTCAAATGGAGGAGCCTCCTCCCTTCCTCCCCGATGCGGTGTGGGGCAGGAAGTGGCAGAATTAGGGCGGTGAATCCTGGTTGCCCCTGGAGACGATCGGACCAAACAGGGAAACGCGGACGGGACGATGAACCTGTTCTGTTATCACTGCGGTCCAGCCTTGCCCTTCCCCTCATAAACACTCCCCTACGCTGCAATCCGCCTCCCCATGTCTTGCAACTGACCACTCCCACTCCCTCGTTTTTTTCTTTGTTTGGTGCCGTGTGTCGCACATTCCCTCCACGAATTGGGCTCGATTGTTTTGATCCCTTCGGCGCAGGCACAGTCGCAGTGCCGACACATCTCCCGTCGTTGGAGACATATTTCGTTGATTCATACTTGAACACCTCACTGCCCGACAGGGTCTTACCTAGCCATGGCGGTCGACACAAGCTATCTGACCACTCAGGTCAACAATATCGTTGAGCAACTGCATGGCATCTTCGATGACATTGGAGTGCCTGCTCGCGAGCGCGACTCGCGCGAAGCAGAGGTAAGCTGGACCTCGAACCTACGCATTGCCATTTGAATCCGAGACTGATTAAATATCTAGCTTTTCAGCGCGTTGTCAGAAACATTGAACAACCACCTTAAGATCGTTGACGAGTAAGTTCAACACGGTAAACAAACACTTTTCCTTTTCGCTAACACAACCCACTTCCAGAGAGAAAGAAGAACTGACTCTAGAAGCCCAGCGCCTAATCACGGCCATTCAACAAATGGAAGCCTCTCTGGGCGACGAAAGGGCTAATGGCCAATATGAGCTCAACCGTGATGATTTGCGCGTTACCTACCCCCTCAACCGGTGTATTGCCTTCTTGCGCGAAAAGAGTGAAGGCATGAGCAAGCTTCACCGCGAAAGATTCGAACAGGTCAAGAGTGAGTTGATTCTTCCCCAAACATCCTGCGCATAGCTTGCTGACTTGAACAGAACTTGTCGATGCTCTGGAGTCGTACTCGTCCCATCTTGAAACTTCATTTCTTCATATTGAATTGCCCCCCACCGCACCTGGCTCGACCATTCCACCCAGCTTCGATTTATCGCCTTCATATGTTACAGCCCTCGATTCAGAATTCACTCGTGTCTACGAGGAGTACCACCGTCGCGTTTCCTATGTCCAAACAACCAGCGAGGAGATCATCAAGCTCTGGGCGGAGCTGGGTACCCCGCAAGTGCAAACTGATTCCAACATCGTTAAGTGCTACCGCGAATCTCCCGAGCAGCTTGGTCTTCATGAGGCCGACCTCGGTAACCTGATGGCACGACGCGACAAGTTGGTGGAGGAAAAGAAAGGCCGCGAGCGCAAGATTAAGGAGATCCGAACCAATGTCGAAAGTCTCTGGGAGCGCTTTGGGGTCGAAGAAGCTGATCGGAAGGCCTTCCTCGCAACCAACCGTGGCTGCGGTCTTCGCACGATCAATGAATTTGAAGAAGAGCTGGCTCGCCTCAATGAGCTGAAAAGACAGAACATGCATTTGTTCGTTGAAGATGCCCGCTGTCGCCTGCAGGAGCTCTGGGATACTCTCTTCTTTTCCGAAGAGGAAATGCTCGACTTTACACCCGCTTTCTCTGATGTGTGCAGTGACGCTCTTCTGGAAGCCCACGAGGCTGAGATTGCTCGTTTGGAGACACTCAAAGAACAGCGCGCACCTACACTGGAGATGATTGACAGACACCGTGGTATTCTTTCGGATCGCGAAGCCCTCTCATCTTCAAGCCAAGACGCTTCCCGTCTGATGGCCCGAGGAAACAAGGGCGAGAGGCGAGACCCTGGCAAACTTCTGCGCGAAGAGAAGATGCGGAAGCGCATTGCAAAGGAGCTTCCTAAACTCGAGGCCGATCTTCGCAGAGAGCTGGAGCGTTGGGAGGACGAGTATGGACGGCCCTTCTTGGTTCACGGAGACCGATATCTTGATTCCTTGACTCCTGCACCCGCCTCAAGAATGCCGCCGCCACGCTCGAAGACCCCATCTGCACCCCCCTCTACAACGAAATCTAGCACAGCACGCCAACCAGTGTCTCGACCTGGTAGCTCTATGCGAGGCCCCCCTCCCCCTCGTTCTGCCACCAAGACTCCAAATGGAAGTGGTCCTGTGAAGCATAACACTATTGGCTACTCTGGGGCTCGATTGGGAGCCAAGTCTCCCACCAAGCTTCCGGCTCGTGCTCCATTGAGCAACATGCCCCATGGAAACAACTCTCCCGAACGCCGTAATGGACCTGGAAATTACTCCTCCAGCACCGTCAATTCCAAGATGGCTCCTCCCCGTGGGCCTCCCCCGAGAATGCGAGCATTGACTGTCGAGTCAAAGGACCGCAATAGCCACCTGGTGGAGCCGCCTCGCTGCAATAGCGCCATGTCGAGTGCATTCGTCCGTCCAGTGAGTCCCGAAGACGTTTATGATGACCGTCAGCGGTCTTTTATGAGCTCTTCAGTCATGTCCAACCACCGCCAAATTGGAATCTCCCACTCTTCTCACTCATCTTTGTCGTCTCTATCATTGAATTCGTCTCAAAACTACCCCCGCGCCAACCCTTACCTTTCACACGCGCCACCTCCCCTGCCCTTCGTCAAACATCGAGCTCATCGGCTGGAAACACCACTATATCCGGTTCAGAGAATTGGGAGACCTTTGATGATGCATCCGACGGGGAAGCCGACACCAGCGATGTTTACTATGGCAAGATCCGTGCGGCCCATGGCAAGCGCTTCGCCCCTGATGACAGTATGGACTTCTTGGGCAAGAAGAGCAAGGGTATCCGCAGTGTCAGCCCTGACGGACCTCACCCTGGTCAGGTCCTCCGTGTTGCGGGTAGTGACTCGGAATGGGCCGATGAGTTTGAGACCTACTGATCGCTAAAAGCGTACTCTATTTACTCTATCTTGACATTCTGACGCTTCTTGCATTTCAATTCCCTGGAACATTTTTCTCTTATGTTTGGCGCTTTCGAACATTGAGCTGTGGTTACGCAATCGCTTGGCTTACTTGACGATCCCATGACTGGACTCTGTACGGCTCATGGTTCATGACGGATATTGATGATCCTTTACGAATGAGCTTACCCCCAGATTCCCCTAATCGGGCTGGTGTCTCCCCACACGCATCCACTATCGACATACGCCCATTTCACCCTTCCTTCGTGTTCAAAATTACGATGCACATCATGTCAATCCTGTTTATGCTCTTCTTTTCTTCTGTCGATGTCTTTTCCAGTCCACAGCAGTGGAAATTTCCTTCCGTTGCTCGAGGGTGGTTTTTTGTCTCTTTCCCGATATCGTTCTCTTCACGACAGAGCTTCTCTCTCAACCTTGGACGGGTTCCTTTTAATTTGTGTTATTTCTCTGATTATTCTGGCAAGGCGTTCTTTGTTCGTCTGTGTTGTGGTTGTTTTTGCTTTTGTCTTGCTACGGCTCGGTGCTTACGGTTTATTCCCTCTTCTCTGGCTCCCGATCATGCGGGGTTGGATTTCCTTGCTGCGTCGTCTTAGTGCGACCGTCTTGTCTTATCTGTTTACTTCTAGCGCCGTACAGTGCCCGCTTGTAGTTTTTTCTGATAATATCATATCTTTCAAACCGCATTTTCTTTCCATTCATCTTAGTAGGTACGGTACAGTGGCGTTGCATAAGTTTGAGACCCCCACTGTAGAACCTGTACTCTTAGATGAGAACTCACAGTTTTTTAACGGCCGGTGCAGTAAATTTGTGTACGAATATCACCTAGTATGCTCATTTCATCACGTTCATATTATATTTACAGATAATTATGTTAAAAAACACAGAAGGTGCTAATTCTCGCCTTGTTCAGCCTGGCGAATTGTATCCAATTCATTTCCCCTTCCACGTCGGTCTGGTTCCATAATAGGCGAAGAAACTGCAAGACTGAATAGTTACACCAGAAGCCAGTCGCAGATATCGATTGCATGAATAGTGCCTCGATTTGGGAGCATTGCTCTCTCGTTTGACACTCCGTGCCAGCAATAAAGAGAGGGAAAAATATGTCGTGGGCAAATTGGAGAGATGGGTTGGTAGCTAGCGATCCGACGATTTGCCAGAGAGAATCAAAGATTGATTGTAGTTCTCCGGTTTCTCTTTCTTGAGGCATCATGGCTTGGTAGCTGTAGAGCAGACATGCGTAGTAATGAGCTTCAATGATAGCGTGAAAGGGAGTCGCCATAGATTCATTTTCTGTGGCTAGGAGGGTGTTCATGGATGTGGCTTTGTCATATGCGCTTAATATTTTGACGTACCAGTACCGCATGTCTACATTCTCCAAGGCAGGGGTAGAAAGGGTACCATGGTTATCATACTGTGACCTTTCGGCGACGGTAATGTCATTGATAAGTGCTGTGAAAGTCCAGGGTTGGTCATTAGGTGCCGGAGAATCGGACATATACTCTCTTGTGGTGAGATCCGTTGTAAAAACCGAAACGTTGCCGAACGTCTCTAAGTCGACGACTTCCTTGATGAAGAACCTAAGAACAGCATTTTGAGACTGCCGATATAGCTTTTGAAGATCATGTCTTTCAATAATAGCACGGCAGGCGCGGAGGTGAAGTTTCCAATAGTTTGATCCGGGGATATGCATTTCCCCATAACAGAGTACAACCATCGAAGCAAGTGTCTCAATTAGAGAAGAATTCCCGGGTGTCGTGTCAAACGAAGCAGGGGTCTTGTGGAGTTCAAAGCGCATCTGCTGACTCAAAACTTTGAGTATTTGATTCCGAATTCGGGCGTTGACTTCCATCATGCTTGATTGATCATGCTCGGTAGCTATGGCAGAGAGATGGGCAGCGGCAAGACCCAGTATAGACAGACGAAGACATGGTGATCGGCTTGCTAAAGGGAAAACAAGACTTCTCCATGGGTTACTTGGACCATCGAGCCATGTCAGTCGAAATGCGACATTAGACAAGAAGTGCTGGAGTAGTTTTTCGGATAATGATCTCGAGAGTTGTTGGTTCACCAAATCTAGACTCGTCGAGGTAAGAGCTCTTCTCGTCTCAGACGAATCCAAATATTCGAACCCGTTGGAATCGTGTTTTTTTGACTGATGTTTTTCTCTCAAGACAGGGACCTTTTTGCCTGTCAGGTGTCCACGGCTAGCAACACCCTGGTCCCATCTCAGATGAAGAACGGGAAAGCCAGGACAGGAAAATCCACGAATTTGGCATTTTTGGCATTGTGGGATCGTCCGATCGCATCTGATGCGACGCGTAATGCAGCAGCGGCAATCTGTGGCTCATTCCTTTAGTCGCGGTGTCGCTGCATGTACTCGAGAATCTGCATACCTTTCGATGCTAGTCGACGATCGGGTGGGAGTAAGTCGATACGAACGTTTTTCCTGGCTTTGCCAGTATAAGAGGACATCACTGCCGGCTGGAGATGTTGAAAAATGTGGTGACTCAATGGTAAGAGAAGTGCCGAAGTCGTGATGCTACTCTAATTAATTGCCGTCAAACTACCCCGCACGCCTCATCGGCCATCCCGAGGGAAACAGTTGGTAAATATTACGTTCAAGTTATTTGTTGGCGATTGAAGCTTCTTGAACGAATAGAGATATTTAAGTTAGTCTTTTCCTTCTCATCGATTCTTTTTTTCTGATTCGGTTGGTGATTGATACTCATATGATGATGGTATACATAACTATGTACTCTTGGTATGGATCAGTAGTAAACATAGAACTCGAGGGACGGCAAATAGTCCGCTAACCAGAAGCCCCACACAGGAAAATAGTCAACTGGATGAATAATTCCTTCAAATTTCCTCATGAGTTTCACCTCATCACATATTGACGGTCTCTTCGTCCTCCACACCGAATAGGACCCTCATGGGATCCGAATAGTTCATAAACCCGACGCCAGGCTCACACAGTCCGTACCCCAGAAGCCTCTGGGCTTGAGGCTTTAGCTGCCTGACCCTCTCAAGTGGTATCATCAAAAATTGGTTCTCGGCAGGACGTAAAGTGGGCTGGCAGAGGAATATGCCGACCGTTTCTCGATAGTCGTTCCTGCAACAAATAGGTTAGTACGGCGAAGCTAGACTGATATCACACAAGGACAGAACCTACTCGGTGATATTAGCACCTCCAGCATGATAGGTGTTGCCCAAGAAGATCAATGCATCGCCCGGCTCAAGCTCTGCCGGAATAGCTTCTTCATCTAGAGGTCGTCGCTCGGGGTCCCATAAATGCGATCTGGGGATGGCAATAGTGGCACCATTCTCTTTTGTCGTCTTAGTCAATGCAGTCACACAACCAATCATCACAGGCAACTTCTTGTCGCTGGGATGATAGTCACTTGCCACAATAGTTAGCAGGATTACACAGAAAAGAGGCGGCGTAGGGCTGAGCGTACTTATCGTCGCGGTGCAGGACCTGTTGTCGACCTCCGGGATTAACCCGAAATCCCACTGTGGAAGAAATTATTGGTTTCCCGCTCACAGTCTCCTGATGGTCCCCCTCCAGAAGGTGTAGCTCGAGGAAACCATGGCATTGGCCACGCTGATATAGAGAGGATTACATGCGAGCTCAACACATGCGTCGGAGATACCTAGCAAGCCGCTTGCTCGCTGAGTGGTCTCGGGAAAAAAGCCATATTTATCTGGGGTATCACCATCAAAGTGAGGCTTTAAGTCGGTCTTGATCTGTTGCGCCAGCTCTTGAGAGATGAGATTTTCGATGATTACACCTCCTTCGCGTTCAAGGACCTCAATGACTTGTGCAGGAGTTGTAGAGACTTTGGCGGCATCTAGTCGGACGAAAGATGGCTTTCCAGCTAGGGCTACCATATTGAGTCTGAAGGGTTTCTAAATTAATCTAGAATACCGGGCAAAGAGTGTTGATGTAGGTGACTGAGCGACGAGAAATTAATAGGTGACCACTTGGTCTTTATGGACGGAAAGCAACACGGTGAAAGTCCTAACTCTTATATCCTATAACTACAAGCGTCATACTGTGATCAAGCTAGACTGGATAAGACAGGTTATATGAGAAATGCACGCAAGAACCCTACGTTGGAACGTGGTAGGTTGCCACAGAATGTAATGCCGGAAGAGAAGACTTGACCGTCTTCGCGATAACGCGCCATGGCCACATAACTTAAGCTCTGGTAGCACTTCCGATCTAAACCCTTTCTAGGAGGTCGGGCGAAAAAGCGAGATAAGAGGGTCGTTTTAGCGAGGTTAAACCGTTCGGAGAGAGACTAAGTCAGTTAGGGCAGTGCGGGCGAGAAACTTCACATGCGGGGTCGGAGAATTAGGGGCACGCGGGCAACATGGGCTTCAGATGGGGGGGTTTCTACAATTCATGAACAAGAAAAATCTTGCTGCATTATTCAATTTGTTTGTTAGAACAGGATTTGAGAGGCTTATTAGGCTTGTATGGGCTTGGATCGGAGTGGCTTTTTGGAGAGACGGTTAACTGGGACGGCCTGCGGCCAAGCATTTAGCTTCGAATTCAAAATTCTTGCCCTCGATCCAGTCCTTTAGATTAATTTGGGGCTCTAAAGCCGAGGCCTATTCAGGTTTCCTCGGGGAAATAGAAAAAAAATCCGTTTACCCCCTCTTGATCTTGATTTTCCTCTTGTACTCCACCGTTGAAGTGCTCCTCCATTCTTCTTGCCTCGATCGTCTTCCCCACAAGACACCATGGCCGAAGTGGAGAAAGATGGCACGACCATGTCCAAGGGGAATTCTGCTTTTTTCTCGCCTACCAATGAATTTGGCTATGACGACCAGGTTGTGTCCGGAGAGCCCCGCGGCTCGACGCAACTGAAGCGCAAGTTGAAGAGCAGGCACTTGCATATGATTGCAATTGGTTAGTGGTTTGCTGAGCTTGCAAAGGAGCAAGGATATAATGCTAACTGATGAAAATGCAGGTGGAACCATCGGAACTGGTCTTTTCATCGGGAGTGGAACTGCTTTGGCACATTCCGGGCCAGTCGGCGCGCTCATCGCATACATCTTCATCGCTACTATCGTTTTTTCCGTGATGACCTCGCTGGGCGAAATCGCCACTTACATACCAATTTCCGGAGCATTCACATCATATGCAACACGTTTAGTTGATCCAAGTCTTGGATTTGCCATGGGCTGGCTTTATTGGTTTTCATGGGCCATAACATTCGCTCTGGAGCTGGTCACAGTTGGTTTGATTATCGAATACTGGAACAGCTCGATTCCAATCTCTATCTTTATAGCCGTTTTCTGGGTGTTAATAACCTTGCTGAACATGCTACCGGTTAACTTTTATGGCGAGGTTGAGTTTTGGTTCTCGAGTATTAAGGTTTTTACAGTGATTGGATTTATGATCTTCGCCATTTGCATTGATGCTGGTGCTGGTGATCAAGGCTACCTTGGATTTCATAACTGGGTTCACCCCGGGCCTTTTGCCGATTACCTCATAACACCTGGACCAACAGCTAAGTTTGTTGGCTTTTGGGCGGTCCTCATTCAAGCCGGATTCTCGTGTCAGGAACGGAACTTGTCGGTATCGCAGCAGGCGAAACGGAAAACCCACGCCGGACGATTCCAAAGGCTATCAAAATCACGTTTATTCGTATCATTTTGTTTTTCGTTCTGACAGTTTTCTTTATTGGTCTTCTTGTGCCCTATGATAATAAGGATCTGCTGTCGGGTGCATCTAACGCAGCAGCATCACCATTTGTCATCGCTGCGCAATTGGCAGGCGTTAAGGTTTTGCCCAGTATCATAAACGCTGTTCTTTTGACCGTCGTTTTATCTGCAGCCAATTCAAATGTCTACAGCGGCAGCAGAATTCTTGTTGGCCTGGCACAAGAAGGGTTTGCCTTCTCCTTTTTCACGAAGACTACTAAAGGCGGCGTACCATTCTATGGGGTCTTACTCACCTCAGCCATTGGCCTTCTTGGCTTTTTGAACGTTTCTAATTCAGGAACAACGGTCTTCAATTGGCTTTTGAATATCTCAGCAGTTGCCGGGTTCATAGCCTGGGCCACTCTGAATATGTGCCACATAGCGTTCATGCGAGCTTTGAAGGCCCGCAAGATCAGCAGAGATGTCCTTCCTTACAAGGCACCTTTACAACCCTATCTTGCCTGGTATGGACTTTTTGTCAACATTTTGATCATATTCACACAGGGATTCACAGCCTGGATTCCGTCATTCAGCGTGGAAAACTTTTTCGTGGCATATATCAGTGTGATCTTGTTTGCAGTACTGTGGATTGGCCATAAGCTTATATTCCGTGATGCTTTTGTTTCCCCCCTTCAAGCAGATCTTGATACTGGGCGCTTGGAGGTTGAGAACCAGCATTGGGAGGTCACAATGCCGACCACTTGGTATGGAAAGCTTTGGAATATCCTAGCTGGATAATCCATGGATCACTCGGCGCTGCAGGCCACTGTTCGCATTTTTCTTTGATTCTTCATAAATGGTTGCATTTTTTTTTAGAAAAAAAAAACATATATACAAATACAAGCTATTCGAACATGCTGATTTCACTCCATGCTTGGAGGTAATACATATTGTACAATTCGCCGGCTGCTCGAGGTTGTCTTTTATTGTTTGCCAGGAGCAAGAGAGCCCATCCAACTCTGGTCCGCGTCCTTCTCCTTGTTGGCAGAGGACTTGGGAACTCGTCGACCGGTCTCTGGAATTAAGGACTTGGTCAGAGCCTTCGCTTCCTGCAATCTGCGCATGGACTCATCTCGTCCCAAAATAGCCAGAGTCTCGGGCATACCAGGCCCTGGTGCCGAAGCCGAAAGAGCCCAGCGTAGGTAGTGGTACAGTTCTTTCTTGAATAGCTTATCCAGGGCAATTGGTGCGTTTTGTAGCTCGGAGGGCAGTGCCACAGACTCGGAGCCGTCATATGAAGTAATGTTCATGCGGTGCGTTTCCAAGGTCCAGTGAGCAGATGGCACGAGAGCGAAGGCAGCAGCAGCAGTATGGAGTGCTTGCATTGGAATAGTGGGAGTTGGTGCTGGGTCCGATGATGTGATGGGAGTAGAGGCAGGGGTATAGGGGGGATCGATCGAGTTCTGTGGTAAAGAAGGTGGAGTTGCGTTCCACAAACTCCGATGCTGTTGTGTAGGACTTGGCATCTGCACGCAGAAGAGGAGCGACATATTCGTTGAGTGCACGACCTTCCAAGATCCTAGCAAGAGAGCCTTGAGTCTGGCCTTCCTCAACAACAGCGGAAACCCTGTTTACCATTTGATCGAAGTCGTGTCCACCATCGGCTGCAAATCGCTGGGCATGAGCCTTTTGAAGGAACCAGAGCTTCTCGAATGCGACGACAGTGTTCCCCCGAGTGATCTTCAGATTGAAGATGTTCTCCAACTCTTCAAGATTAAAGATATCTGACTTTTGTGAATGAGACCAGCCCAAGAGTGCCGCAAAGTTGACCAATGTCGCTGGGAAGATTCCTTGTTGGTCTTTAAACGAGGAGAGGTCGATGTCAGCATTTCGCTTGCTCAGCTTCTGTCCATTCTTATCGACAAGAAGAGGAACGTGACCAAATCGCGGAGGTGTCCACTTGAAAGCATTATAAAGCGCCATATGCATTGGCGTAGAGGGCATCCACTCCGTGCCTCGAATGACATGGGTAATTTTCATGCAATGGTCATCCACCACATTAGCCAAATGGTATGTCGGGTGTCCGTCCGATTTGAGCAAGATGGGGTCATCATAGACGCGGTCGATTAGATCTAGTTTGCTGACGTTGAGCTTGTTCTGTCCGGTCTTGCCGTAGACGAGGTCGTTGAACATGGGGTATCCATCCACCTTCAACCGAACAACATGAGAATCTCCCTTAAAGGCGCGTTCATCAGACTCCTCATGAGAGATGTCGGCACACTTCCGATCGTATCCGGGTGCTAGTCCTGCTTGACTACGATGGCGGGCGTGGGAGTCGAGCCGCTCGGAGGAGCAGAAACATCGGTAGGCATGGCCGTTGTTGATTAGATCGTTTGTATGGGTCCGATAGAGAGCAGTCCGCTCGGACTAGGACAAACGTATCAGTCATGTTTGAGGTTCAGGGTAGGATGGTCTCTCACTTGTCTATATGGTCCGTATTGGCCACCAACAACAGGACCTATCATTGCCGGTTAGCTTGTGCTGATTGCGTCAAACCGCACTCGGCGTTTACCTTCATCCCAATGAAGTCCTGCCCAATGTAGGTCGTCGTATAGTCTCTGCTCTGCATCTGGGATTGTCCGTTTCTGTGTCTCTTAGCAAAAATCGTTTATTGCCTGATTCCGAATGCGAAGACCAACCTGGTCGGTATCCTCAATGCGCAGTAGGAACTGACCGCCAGTCCGCTTGGCAAGGAGATAGTTAAACAGTGCTGTCCGGAGAGAGCCTAGGTGAAGATATCCGGTTGGTGAGGGAGCGAAACGCGTGCGCGCAGGGGCGTCGGGGGAGATTGTTCTTCGGTTTGCGGAGTTGCGCGCCCACGGATGAGGATGAGGATGAGGATGAGGACAAGGCTCTGCATTGAATGCAAGTCCAGGACCGCCGAGCCAACAGGCCACTGGGAGTAGTCCTCATTGAGATCGGATTGGATGTGAGGTGATCGGCAAAGGTTGATTGGGGGTGATTCGAGGGGAATTTTTTGCGGAGGCTCGGCAGCTCCGCGCGATTGGAAGCTTCCCGCAAAAATTCGATGACCAACTTTAACTCCGTTCGGCTTCCTGCCTGATCTTCTCTTTCCTCTTTTCTCTCTTCTCTCGTCTCTTTCACGTCAACACTGCTCCACCCTCGTTCAAGTTCCTTTGTGATTCTAATTCTGGTATCGTCCCAGTGAATAGGTGTTGCAATTCTGTATATCTGCAAGCAGTAGGTTCTTGTCCTCGTCCTTTCCGATCGGCTTGTTGACTGTTACTAATTGGACCTGCAGTGGCTCAAGTTGAAGTCGACCTCTACGGTATGCGAAATGATGATAGACGTTATCGCGCACGCGGAAATGATCCAGCAGGGCTGACTTAATATTTTCCACCGATACAGAGGTCCTAGAGATCCAAAGAGGGGCGAGCAAAGATGAAATTCGCTCGGCTTACCGCAAGGTGTGACCGCCATTCGCGACTTCACTGGGAGATACAGCGCTGACAATGATCATATCTAGGCCGCCCTCTCTAGCCACCCCGATAAAGTTCCCGAAGATGAACGCCCAACTGCCGAGATCAAATTCAAGGCCGTTCAAGAGGCCTACGAAATCCTGTACGATGACCAGAAGCGCCACATTTACGACACCCACGGCATGTCTGCTTTCAACGGTTCCGGTGACCCCGGTATGGGTGGTGGTATGCCCGGCGATGTCGACCTTGACGATCTTCTGGCGCAGATGTTCGGTGGTATGGGCGGCATGGGTGGAGGCATGCCTGGCATGGGAGGTATGCCCGGGATGGGAGGTATGCCTGGAGGTGGCCAGCCTCGCCGAAGCCGCAATGAGCAACAAGACTACGAAGTCAGCCTAGAGATGCTTTATAAGGGAAAGACTGTCAAATTCGCCAGCACCAAGAACGTTATCTGCAGTCTGTGCAAGGGCAAGGGTGGCAAGGAGAAGGCCAAGGCCAAGGAGTGCTCCACCTGCGAGGGCCAGGGAATCAGGGAAGTTATCATGCAGCAGGGCGGCTTTCTCACCAAGTCGGCCCAGCCTTGTACCACATGTAACGGACAGGGTCGCTTCTTCAGCCCCAAGGATAAGTGTAAGAAGTGCAAGGGCAAGAAGACCACCGAGGAGAAGAAGATTCTTGAGATGTATATTCCTCCTGGCTCTCGGTATGTTTCCCCACTCATCCGGCTTAATATGCTAAATGAAGATTGACTGACCCCGTGTTTTAGTGAGGGCGACAAGATTGTGTTGGAGGGTGAAGCGGACCAGGTACCTGACCAAGAGCCCGGTGACATTATCTTCCGCCTGGTGCAGGAGGAGCACGAAGTTTTTGACCGCGCTGGTTCCGACCTTCGAGCTAGCTTCGATGTGACAGTGGCTGAGGCTTTGACTGGGTTCTCTCGCGTGGTGATCAAGCACCTTGACGGTCGTGGTATCGAGCTCACACACCCGGCTGGCAAGGTTCTCTCACCCCTACAGGTTCTCAAGATCCCGGGCGAAGGTATGCCCATCAAGCGCAGCGACTCTAAGGGTGACCTCTACTTGGTTGTCAACGTCACGTTCCCCGAAGAGAACTGGAAGCCTACCCCTGAGATGCTCGAGAAGATCAAGCAGGTGCTTCCGGGGCCCGAGGCTCCCATCACAGCCGAGACGGTGGACGAGGTTGAGTTCGATCCGAAGGGCAACATGGAGGAGTTCGGCGCCCAGGATGCGCAGGGTGGTTCGGCTTGGGTTGACGATGACGAAGAAGAGCCGGCGCAGTGCGCCGCTCAGTAAGCGCTCAAAAAAGAGATATCCTGTCTTTCAGTCATAGAAGGCGTTTGGGTTTTGCACATTCTCTGTTTTGTTTGATTTCTTCGCGGGGCACGAATATCTCCCATCCACGATCATGACCGTACAGTAGACTAGCTAGTCGCTAGAAATCATCTTCCATGTTGCATTAATTTGAATCATTGTTATGTGCATATGTACTATCACAGTGGAGTGCTTGGGTGGGTACGAATCTCGTAGGTGTGGAGTGGCAACTGTCATGCCGAGTGTGGGGAGGCACGTTGGCTGCTGCGGCGTGCGACGAAACTAAAATTGGCATATTCAAGGCTCGGAGACTGACTGCGGTGCTAATCATACTAGTAGTATTCCGCTCCATAGCCGGCAGTGGTGGCTATTAGTCTAATCACTGCGCGCATATATACTAGTAGTAAGTAAGACGTGGGATGCCAGAGGAACTCCGTGGGGTCGGCGCCGGTTCGGCTCCTTCGTCAGGTTCGGCTTGCCCTCGGTTTCTCTTATTACTCATGGTGCACGTCCTATATATGCGGGGTTCTGTCGGCCTGGAAGAGATGATTTTGATTTCTCTATTGTGATACTATGTGACTAATTCGATTTAGGCTCATTTCGCTGTCGCATTTCAGACTGTGCTTGAAATACCTTTGTTCCCATTATGTCGTGCAACCCTCAATCTTCATGCAAAGGTTGCTCCTGTGATGGCGTCTCTCAGCCAATTAATATTGAAGATTGTGAGACAGAGCTCCTGGCTCTACGAAAGCGTACCCACGATTTGGAGAAGAAGCTGGCAGGGTACAAGGATGGCCTCGTGATTCCACGCCAGGGTCGCAAGTTGCGGTCAGCACGTTGGTTTAACAGTGAGAGCAACCCAGGAATGACAGCGTTGTATATCGAGAGATACCTAAACTATGGTATGACGCGCGAGGAGCTCATGTCGGGCAAACCGGTGATTGGTATTGCGCAGACAGGATCCGATATTGCGCCTTGCAACCGACACCACTTGGAGCTCGTGAAGCGTGTCAGAGAAGGTATTCGGAGTGCGGGAGGAATTGCGTTTGAATTTCCTTGTCATCCAATTCAGGAAAGCTCTCGCCGTCCTACAGCTTGCTTGGACCGCAACTTGATGTACTTGGGGCTGGTTGAAATCTTATATGCGTACCCCTTGGATGGAGTTGTTCTTTTGACTGGATGTGATAAGACCACGCCGGCCGCATTGATGGCGGCAGCTACAGTGGTATGTTGTAATTGGAAACCCTAAAAATGTTTACTCTGACCAAGGATGTAGAATATACCTGCGATCTGTCTCAATGTCGGACCTATGCTCAACGGTTATCTGAAGAATGATGAGCTGGCAGGCTCAGGAATGGTGGTGTGGAAAGGAAGAGAGATGTATGCTGCAGGTGAGATCAACCGTGAGGAGTTTGTAGACTACATTTCCCGAGGGTATGATACCATTTCTCCCTATCACTGCCAGTGTTGACATGGAGGCTGATTCATGACAGAGCACCATCTGTGGGTCATTGTAACACAATGGGGACGGCCTCAACGATGAATGCACTCGCAGAAGCATTGGGCATGGCTCTTCCAGGCTCAGCAGCTATTCCAGCGGCATATCGACAGCGCGGCCAATGCGCTTATGAGACCGGCGGACGTATTGTGGAAATGGTCCATGCAGATCGCAAACCAAGCGATATAATGACTCGAGAGGCATTCGAAAATGTGATTGTCACAAATACGGCAATTGGTGGCAGCACCAACGCCCCTATCCACATCAACGCTATGGCTAAGCACATTGGAGTTGAGCTGTCACTTGATGACTGGGATCAACTTGGATTCCATGTTCCACTGCTTCTGAATATGCAGCCTGCCGGCGAATTCTTGGGCGAAGAGTACTATCGGGCCGGTGGCCTCCCTGCTATTATGGCCGAGTTGCTCGAGGCAGGAAAATTACGAACTGGAGCATTGACCTGTAATGGGGAGACGATTGAAACCAACGTGCGTGGGAAGGGGTCTTGGAACAGGAAGATCATCAGACCTTACAATGACCCACTTGTCCCCGACGCTGGATTCCTTCATATGCAAGGTACCTTGTTTAACTCGGCTATAATGAAAACTTGTGTGATATCCCCGCAATTCCGACAGAAATTCCTCGAGAATCCGAACGACTTGAATGCCTTTGAGGGTTCTGTTGCTGTATTTGATGGCCCCGAGGATTACCATGACCGACTTGACAACCCCGAAACGCCAATTGATGACACCACCATCCTTGTTATGCGTGGTGCTGGCCCACTAGGATACCCCGGTGCCGCCGAGGTGGTTAATATGCACCCACCAGCCCGTTTGCTGCGACAGGGGATAAATGCCCTCCCCTGTATTGGCGATGGCCGCCAATCTGGTACATCGGGCTCCCCATCAATTTTGAACGCAAGTCCTGAAGCGGCTGCGGGTGGCAACCTTGCAATTTTACGCGATGGAGATCGTTTAAGGGTCGATCTTAACAAGCGAAGCGTTGACATTCTTATTGAACCCGCAGAAATTGAGCTTCGCCGCGCTGAATTGAAAGCTAACGGTGGGTATAACGGCCCAGAGAGTCATACTCCGTGGCAGGAGATCTTCCGTCGCGAAACTGATCAATTGAACGAGGGTATGGTCCTCCGTGATGCTGTCAAGTACCAGCGAGTGGCGCAGCGTTGGGATGAGCCTAGACATAACCATTGAGCAGTGGTGCATATTTCAGAGATGGACCTGCTAGTAGAATACTTGAATGATACTACGCGACGGAATTTGTACTAGATCAAAAATCGATGTGTCAATAAAGTATGAGCTTAATATCTTTCAAGTTGTTGCGTAACAATACGTCGGCGATATCAGTACCTTGTGGACCTTTTGTTTTTCTCCATCGCATACTATTGACATTGCATTAACAGAAACAGATTTGAGATATTATCGTGTTTTATTAATCGAACATGATCCTAAATATCGCAGAAACGTGGTATAATAAAAGGAAAGGCTTCATAAAAGGCTTAAAAATGCATCATCCTTCAGCAGAGCTCGAACGCATAAACGTATTATCCAGGAAAGCAGATCAGGCATGGCTATATCCAGGGTTATTATGATCATATGCAGGGTTATAAGCGGTATTGTTGTATGCGGCAACCTGGGGAGGCGGGAGATGGGGGCCATTGGCATAGCCAGATTCATAAGCGTTGGGGTGGTTGAGAGGGAAGCTGTCGTCGTTGATGTTGCCCGACCAGGCCGCCTGATCTTCGGGAACGCGACCGTATTTTCCAGGGTTGTTTGCGCGTGCCTTGGTATCCGCAAAGTACCAGAAAAAGGTGATGACCATGTAAATTGCCATCAGACCGACATCCAAGCCATATTGCGGCCACTCGTTCTCTTGGAGGTAGCCGCCATTCCCACTCTTGTACTCAATAAGACGGTAGATGTTTCGGCCTGTGATGAGAACGCCGGTCGCATAGATCGAATATATCATCAGTTGCAGGCGCAGGGTTGGGTCGACCGACTTAGCAATGTGACGCTTCGATACTCGGATATGGAAGATCACAGATGATACGAGGAAGACCAGGAAAAGGATCACCTGCAGTGCAAGACCAGCGAGGATGACGTTTTTCGCGACATCGACTTTATGCGCGGTGTCACTATCGTGAGAGTTGACCAGGTTGGCAAGGCTGACAGCTCCAAAGGCTTGGACCAGGAAACAGAGGATATCGCCAGTAACAAAGATCTTGGTTTCCCAGTTGACGCGGATCAGCGAGAGCTTAGGGTGCCCAGACGCGACAACCAGACGTCCAAAGAACATGTAGACACCGGCAGCGTAAAGAATTGGTGCCAGGAGAATCAGGACCATCTGAACAATGTATGGGGGAAGTTTGTCCAAGTGATCATGTCCATAGGCTCGTGCTAGGAGACCCACAAATTCAACTGTTCAGATGAGAATTTCCACGTTAGTCAATCCCGTTTCAAAATTTTGGCAGAAGGTGTGAGTGGAGCACTTACAAAGTCCTCCAAGGAGAATAGCAATGCCGAACCATTGTCGCGTGGTGAAGATTTTCCAAGTGTGTATAACCGATGTGGCAAGAAAAATGGCCGCGAAAACAATGGCCACAATCTTGTTGGGCTTGTAGTATTCGTAGAGATTGTCGTCTGATGCCATGGTGATAGTCGTGCACGTATTCGTGGAGGTCGTTAAAAATTTTGTTGTCGATGCTTATGATGAGCAAGCTGCCCAAGACTTTATAGAATTCCTTGGGCGAGGCTGTGCGTCAACGGCCCCCACGGAGGAGCTGATTCTCAAATCAGATTCGACCAGCTGATTGGCTCGCGCTGCACCGCTAATTCGGTCTCAGCCTCGTCGAGCGGAGTCCAGCCGCAGTGCTATTTTCCGTTTCAAGAGATATGGAGCGACCTGGCTCCTCTTGGGGTGCATAGGGCTATGTTTGGGCAAGTAGGTTGACAGCCAAGTCAACAATGCAGCCGCCACATCGTCACACCTGTGTGCACCGAAAGTAAGTCGAGTGCACACGAGCACGAGCTTGAAAAACTCGGCCAAACCTAAGCATCATTGCGATATCCAATTGCTCATTGAAAACTCCTGTGAACTCGTACAGTAATCCATACAAACCTTGATGCTCTGTGAGGAACAGCTAACCGCATTGTGAACAGGTTCCGAAGATCCAGTGGGTCACCAATTACCGAACACGAGGCGGATTTTGTTTCTTCACGTCCCACGATCAGTTAGTGCTTATCCCCCTGAACAGTACTCCGTAGTGGATACTGAAACAGAAATTGCGCGCAAACCCAGCCTTCTCCATCGAAGTCACGTGGCATTGTTGACGGCCTGGCGGCCTAAAATTAGATTAGACGTCGGAAAGATCCACCTTGAGTAGACTAGCGTAAGTGATATCCAATAAGAATTCAGAGCAGACTATGCAATCTCGTCAGTTGCGATTTGCATACCCAATTTGGAACGATTCTCTTATTTGAGGCTGTTTTGGACCCCATTCCGTCATGCAGACACCGTCCTTTCATAAAAACAATGCTCCGCTTCCCGAGACGAGGCTGTAAACAGCCCCAGGAGAAAAAGTTTAAGCTTATCCCAACAGCCAGGTAGAATCTAAATCAATGAAACCATATGAACAAGCGTGTGCTCAAGGTACGAATGTGTACAGTGGCGTTGCAAAAGTTTGAAACCCCATATTGCCCAGCCTGATTTATCGCTTACTAAAGGGAAACTAGTAGCTACCTGAGATAGAATTGATTGGCCTATCTATTTCATCTCAGGTAGCTACTAGTCTGCCATGAGAAGACGATTAATAATGGTGGGTAATAAGAGGTTTCAATCTTTTTTGCAGCGCTACTGTAGCTTGTTGTCAAAGGATGACTAATTAGATAAGAACATAGGCCCTGATATCTATTCGCCAGTGAGTCCATGTGATGTCACAGAGGTGCTCTGAAGTTTTTTATTCATTCGTCAAAATAAAGAACCAAACCAGACCGTGACGTAAAGTAAGCAGGCTTGGAGTAGAAAAGTGGATGTGATTGATATTCCTTAACCCCCATGGTTGATACAAATTATTGACTTTCCTAAAAAAAGACCCAGGGGCCACTAACTCTTATATACTACAGACATCACCAAAGAGGACACCGAAGAGACATTCGTATATCAACAATCCCAGGCACCAATATCGACCTTGTACCTCATCCAGCTGGGTTCGCACAGGTAAACGGCGTCAGTGCTGAACTTGAAAAGCTTTCGCGCATTGAGGTGACCGATGCCCAAATACCCAGTCCAGCAGATGACAGCGCAGCAAGAGAGTAGATTACGTCAAATGTGTTCCAAACAAACTTCTTCTTGTATCCTCGGATCCAGCGTTTAATACCATGATCCACGCGGTTAACTTCACCGGTCTGCGGATTGTACTCTTCCTCGGGTAACATTGCGTCTTTCTGGATATTGTATCCAACAAGCAGCATGGGCGGGAAGGTATAAGAGAATTGCAAAATACAGGCCGCGCCGACGAAAGAGGTAAGGTTGCTGATTTGGGGAATTGCGGCAGCGATGACCCACGCAAGACACCAGTAGATCGGGACTAGTAGATGTTAGTAGTGACCTCAACCTTGAGTTGATCGAATAACTTACCGAGCGCAATCCATAACCATTTTCCCCGACGGCTATCCAGCGGGGGAAGTGGAAGACATCACGAAGAACCGCAGAATAGAATACCTTGATCCCGATATTTCCATACAGCAGAGCGGCGATGACGCCGGTGATAAAGGAAATTGCGTTTCCAAGAGTTTGGAAGCGATAAGCACTATTGGGAATGCCTGAGAAGCAACGTTAGTACGGTGGAAGAGGGGGTAAGAAGTTAAAGAAACTTACCTTGATAAGCAGGGTTGAAGGTGAATTGACCTTGGGCACTGTAGACAACCATGCCCATGATCAAGTAGCAAGCATAAATAAAAATTTCGGCACAGATGAATCCCTTCCAGAAATCATAAGGCCGTCTCATCTCAGCCATGAGCTCATTGAATAATGTTGCGCCACCATACGCGAAAACACCGTTCATCATGGCATTCACTTTGTCGTCGAGGGTTGAAGATTCGGGCCAGTAGGCCGTTGTTTCCACGGGGCCTTTCGGGATGTTGTAGCTTTGCTCAACTGCCTCGTAGTTCGGAGGATATTGATAGACGACGGCCATAGTCATAATAATGACGATAACATTCAGCCAAATGGCAATATTTGCCAGCCAGGAAAGGCGCTGCAAGGTGCGAATTTGCCCTAGGATGAAGCCGATGAGCATGAAAATCACCTCCGCAACAATGAAGCAAAGAAACCCATTGCCATTAACACCCGCTGCCATCTGCGCCAAACCTTGTCCGTTGCTAGTGATCAAAAGGGCAACGTTCAGGAAAAACTGAAAGCTTTGCAAAAAGTTGACCACGATACGAGCCCAGCTGCCAAACACTCGGAACGCTACATCGCCGTAATTGCGCATGGGGAATCGAGTTGAGTCCAGCCCGACAAAAATGTGCCACAATTGCATGCCAGAGTAACAAGCCATAGCACCAAATGCGGTGTATAGAGCAAAGCCAGGCCCGTATCCCATCTTACTAATTGCCCATGGCACATTGGTGGGGCCCAAGATATCAGTGGTAATCAAGTAGAAGATCGAACCCCAAGTTGCGGTCCGGCCCGCTCTCTGTGCCTGCTCCCACTCGGTTTCGGTCACGCCCCAGCTATCTGAGGTATCGCTATTCACGGTTTGATTCGAGGGTTCGGGGGCGCCGCTTTTCTCGTTGGTAGTGGTAGCAGCGGTATCGGACGGTGGTGACACTTTGGACTTTTTGCCGATGATAACGTTGCCCAGTGAAGCCAGACCGACGTTATCGGTTCGCATATTCTTTTCAACCTCACGAGAGCGCTTTGCCCAATAATGGTAGCTCTCGAAGTTGATACTAGTATCCAGGTAGATTGAGCCATGTCCATGTAGTACCGGCGGAGGAATCTCGTGAGACATTGTCTCCGGATGCTCCTCCTTAATGCCAATGACATCTGCTTCGTCTCCTAGGCGAGAGTCGGCAACACCGCCAATATTGGCGGCAGATATATTGCCGGCCATTTTCAAGAAGAGACAAAAGGGCAATAGGAGATATCCTCCAAGGTCAAAGTGTAGATCCTATAATGTCGGATAGTTGCGAGTAAAGAGAAATGGAAAGGATACCCCGGTCCAACAGATCGGCATCGCGGGTCTTTCTAAAATACGTCCTGACGCCGTTCTCATTTTGCGGGGAACAGACATCATTTCCGAGGCGTGGACAAGATGATAACGGTGGATAATCCAAAAAACTAGTTGCAAGCCCCTCTATCCGCTGATAGGTCAGTACAATCTCGGAGAGTGATTTATCAACAGCTTCCGGGGCCACCGGAATCATTCAGGATGTAACGATGTAACCATTGACCCCATGTTTGGACGTGGACCCGGGGACCTGCACCCGAAAATACCAACGACCCACATAAGTGGATCGAGTCTCTCGGCAAAAGCTTGTCTTGTACGCGTTCGAAGCCAATGGGTTTAATCAAAACCTGATGACTGGCGCAAGGTCTCGCTGCTTGCGGTTAGCACAGCATCAAAGTTGGCCCGGTCCTTGATAGTATGGGGTCGTTGCACGGTCTCCGTGCGCCGGCGTACCATCGGAGACCGTCTCCTCATTCAGCGCCTCTCGCGTGGCTTGGACAATGGCATTGCTTGTGAGGCTTGATTCAGGAAGCTTTTCTAGTTGAATACGGGTTTTTGCTTGGGTCATTGGATCTGGGGTGTTGCATCCCAGACTTTCGGGGTTCATGGAACACGTTGCGCAACGCCACGTTGTTATCGGCAGGCAGCGGCAGGCAACGGCATTTGCCTGTCCCCATCCCGGGATAGGTTCACTTCGTTATCATCCAGTGAAATGAGGAAAACGAAAGCGAAATTATCCACTCCGACCGCGTGCTTCGGGCGGGGAAGGCGAGAGAGTGGACCCCGGGGATGCCCTCATAATCAGAAGAGGGTCACCGGAAGCGATAGGCAGACCGCAATCAAGACAAAATTGATGATAATGATGAAGGAGAAGAAGAAAAGAGATCTGACAAAGAGATGCTGAATAGTTGACAGGGGGTGGTTGATAGTCTTGTCAGCACTCTGTTCCAATAGTGGGTGCCGCTATGCCGCAAGGGGTAACGAGTTGAATCCTGCAAGTCTAATTCTTGTCTATTCTCTAATTATACATCGATGCTATGCTCTAATTGCGCCCAATCATATCTAGAAATATCGACACCTGACGATACATCTCCAGCGGGCTGGAGTACATGGGAAAATGTCCACACTCTTCGATCTGGGCTAATTCCACACCCCCCTTCTTTAGCTGTTCGAGATACGACAACCCTCTCATCTCCCATCCGAACATGAACATTCGCGGGAAGGGAAGCCCCATGAACATTCCTAGCAGATCTGCCTCATCAGATAACTGGACCATCGATTCGAAAATCGGTCGCACTGCTTCGACACGAACCCGCGCCCGGAGAGTGCTCGCATACAGGGCACTTCCGTAAGACCCACTGGTCCGGGTCCGGTCGATAAAGGCATTAAAGAAATCCTCGGGGTCATCTGATTTGAATGTGAAGATCTGTCTGCTGAGGAAGCAGTCTTCCGGGGCCAAATTGCCCTTGATATCCACAAAGCTCAACACCCGGTCGGGGTTGCGGTGCGCCAGGTAGAGCGCTGTGAGCCCACCCATGGAGTGGCCCATCAAGTGAAAGCGAGTGATTTTGAAGTTTTCTAGAAACGCTTCTGCAGTGGCGACAAGGAAAGGTATGTCGGTAGCGGAGAGCGTATCGCTCTTGGTCTGACCACACCCTGGCGCATCGTAGGCGATATACCCATACTGTTTCAGATACGGGTGGATATGTACATCTGCCAAGTCCTCTTTGCAGGACCCAAAACCATGCAGGAATAAAATTGGTGTTTTAGAAGTCAAACTGTGAACTGTAGAAACCTCGAGGTTTACACCCTGGACTTGGAGTGCGACGGTTTCGTAAGTGAGCGACATCCCGATGGTAAATGCAAAAAAAAAATAAAGAATGTAGGTGAGTTGCAGAACTTTCAAACTGCAATTGCCATCCAAATGGCAAATTGGGGAATTATATGGCAAAGTTGCCATCTGACATCAAAGATCGGTCAGCAACTCGGGGAGAAGACATTTTGCCGATGCGTTGCCGACAACGGCGAAGGTTGGTTCTGCCGGCCCGAAGAGCCAAGAAAAAGGTAACATTTATTGAATAACACTACTACTTCATATATAATTTGATTCAAATACAGCAGGCTACCTCAGAAACGTTCCTAGAGGCCTTCTAGCTTATACAATGGCTCCAATTTTGCCGATCGCCGGAAGAAAATATAGCGCCGAACAAACCATGGCAACCAAGTACCAGTCTGATACCGCGCGTGTCTTTATCGGAACACCGAAGGTGTAGTCGAGTTCTTCAAGCGTACGTTGTCTACCCAAGTTAGTAAAACTTCCACAAAATTTTCACTGCCGGGACTCACTTTGTTTCAGGGACGACGAGGAAGATGATGAGAAAAGCGAGAATGTTTAATCCCGCATAGAATCCGAAAGCTAGGGTTCACATCAGTCATCAGATATTTTTGGATGTATTCAATCGCTACTTACCACCAGTGGGCGTTGTCTTCTTTAACAATGATGGGAATGTAAGGCTGAGAGCACTTCCTATCGAGTTATTGACGCAAATCGTGAAGGCGGCCCCCAGTTCACGGTGGGACAGCGGGAAAGCCTCGCTGAAATAGATCGAGGCAATAGGCCCGATCCCTAAATTGGTGAGCTGATTTTCTTCTGTAATTTCAAGCATGGAAGACCTACCTGGTCCGTAAAATGCCGAAAACAGGTAGACAAAGAAGGCAATTAGAGGCACTCGGGCTTCAGACCCCGTGGGTAGCAAGAAGCAACAGCCCGCCGCCAGGAGACACCAAGCCATATTTGGAAAAGTAAACAAGAGAAGGTTGCGTCGACCGAAAGTGTCCATGGTAAAGACAGCTGGTAGGGCAAAGACAAATGTGACCAAACCGAAGCCAAGAGAGGCAAGTAGACAATCTCGCGTTGAATATCCAGCCTCCTATTTGGATGGTTAGCTCAATTTCCCCTCAGTGTGCCGACAAATAGGCTTACCGAAAAGATAGTGGACGAGTAAAAGCTCATAATATTGATACCGGAAAACTGTTGCGATGTGACGATGATTGCACTCGAGATCATCGCTCGACGGAGGCGGGGTACAGTAAATAGCTCCCAAACTCGATGGGCAAGAGATTTGCCCGAGAATGCATCGCGCTCAGTGACTACCTGGCAATGTGCATAGTACTAAGGACTGTCAGTGGATGCAAATTGTGATTATCAAGAACACCTACCAGCTCTCTAGCGGCAATCAATTCCGTGTTGCGCAAGCGACAGAAAGACGCGAAGGCATCCTTGTAGCGATACTTCTTCATAAGCCATCTTGGCGACTCTAGCATCGAAATCAGTCTCGTTCAAGATGATGGAAAAGTCAATCTTACCGGGGCAAAACCACACAAATATCAGCACTGGTATAGCAGGAACAAAGGCAGCAGACAGTTGAAAGCGCCAAGCCAGTGGTCCAATGCGGTAGAATACGAGATTAGAGCAAAATCCACTGCCAATATAATTAGCCACTGGATATTCTGGCTTCGACCATGTTATGGGGACATACACTAGAATTCCAAATGCCACCCAAAGCTGGAAACTTGTGACCAGTCCACCTCGAATAGAGGCCGGACTGACCTCGGCGCTAAACACCGGGATTGTTGATATCTTAACACCCATACCTAAAGAAATGAGTCACTGTTGTGCTTTCTGACAGCGTTGGTCTGGTTCATACCGAGTCCCATGAATAGACGGCACAGCATGAGGCCCCACCAGTTTTGGGTAAAGCCTTGCGCAAGAACAGGGAACACGCAGCTGATATTGAGTTAGTTGATTGACTAGTCAAAAATTTCCCAAATGAAACACTCACAACAAGCCGGTCACGAATATAGTGCCCCGACGACCCAGCCAATTATTCAGAGGGTCTGATGCCCACGCACTACAAACTTGTTAAAAGGTCCTCTTTCAATCACTACGGCAGCAGAAACTTGCCTAAGGAGGCCGAAAAGGGTTGGACTGCAGCCACATGTTAGATGGAATAGGCAATGTAGGAATTATTGCATTTGCTTACCCAGAATTGATGACCCCAACCAACCACGCATTGTCTTCAATGCCAAATTCTTGTGGAAAAGAAAGATTGGCGCCATTTGCACCAGTGTTATCCCATCCTTGGATCGCTGATCCAAGAGAGCACAAGCCAATACTGAAATAGAGGGCCCTTGGTAAGTGCCATTTGTCTAACCCCATATTAGCGTACTAGTAAGCAAAATATCTCTAGGTCGATCCACATACGGGTATACTCTCGCCTCAAATGATATTTGTCCTCCTCGGTCAATTCGGATAAGTCCTCAAAGTTGTTTGGGTTCTGTGCTGCAAGCGCCCCTTTTCTGAAATGTTTCGATACGGTCTTCGAATCCAAATTCCTGGCAGAAGCGAAGCACGCGATCGTAGAGATCGACTTTGGCAATCCCAGCAAGAGGATTGGAGATTCTACCAGACAATTTTTCGTTAGCTCAAACATACTTCTTCTGCGATTGAAGTAACTTGGTCGTACCTTGCATTGATATTTCGGCTATAGCTGCCCAGATCCGCTTGGGCCGCCTCTGCATCTTCCACGAACACCGACTTTGGCTTAAGGTCTTCTTCCAAACTGTGCTTCGACATGATGATAGTTTTCAAGCTCTCTGACAGCTCAAGAGCCCCAGGTTCCACAGCTTGAATATATACTCCACCACGACTGAGGTGGTCTCACGATTGGCAGATCGGTCAAGTTGGAATCCGGGGTGCGCTAGCGGCGCCGATCGAGGAGTAAACCAATGACAACACGCCAGGCTCCTCACCCCCTCAAGTCATGACGCAGGGTGCCCTGCGTGTACCACGGCTTCAACGCCGAGTTCTTTGTCCTGTGTGCGAGGGAAGAAGCGGGGGAAAGCCTATCAGAAGCTTTGGTATGTTTGGCCTGGGCCGGGTGTGGGCCGGTTGCTTGGCCATAGCCATCGGGAATGCGCCGACCCTGTACAGGCCAGGAATGCCCTGCGTGCACACTCCGTGCTTTGCCAATGTACGACTGCAGAATTCATGCAGTCAGTTGACAAAAGGCTGGATTTCTTCCCGGATCTTCTGGTGTCCTGTGTATGTCCTGTACAGGCCTGGTCCACTTTTTGAGGGGTTACAGTTATCCAATTGCCAGCTGTCCACGGGTGCTACTGGCAGTAGAGGACAAACATATATAGTAGTCTGCTATTCTGTAGCCTTAAAAAATGTGTTTATTCAAGGATCGATTCAATTCCATTCATCAAATACAAGACTTCCAGACAAATTCAGCAACATGGGTAGCGCGGAAAATGTAACATGGCTTCAGAAGCTCTCTGAGCAATGTAAGGGAACCCTCCAGAATATATCAAATGTTACCAAACCTAACAAGTGCAGTAAACATCGATGTCGACTGGATGGACCCGGCATACACCCTGAGCATGCCCATTGTTCCCCATGATATGACCAGCAACCAAGGCTGGGTGCATGAGCAGATGTGTAACCCAGTGAACGAAGAGTTGTTCAAGAGTGTGGTCAAAGAGTACAAGGATCAGGGATGGTTAGCGATCTATACTCGCATGGTAATAAAAGCCCATTCTATTAAATAACACAAGTGAACTTCTCTCACACGGTCTTCTAGGCATGCTTGATGTCCAAGGCCAACCTCGACAATATTCAAGGCCGGTGTCTGCTTCAGACCCTCCCCTCCAATGCCTATAATACAGAAAAAACGATAGAGCACGCGCGGGCATACGCACGTGAGTTCGAGAAGCTGGGAGTCTCCAAAGATCGCTTCTGCATCAAGATTCCCAGCACCGGACCGGCTCTGAATGCTTGCCCAATTCTCAAGGAAGAGGGAATCCGCACGCTTGGAACGACGCTTTTCAGTGTCCACCAGGCTATTGCGGCCAGCCAGGCTGGTTGCTTATATGTCAGCCCGTACTATAACGGTAACCATATTCTCATATCATCTGAAGGGACACTCGGCTGACCCAATTTCTTCATGATAGAGGTTCGCGCACACGACGAGCAGGAACTGTGGCCCAAATCTGACGATCCGGCCCTTCTGCATCCCATGTCACCTCGGTTGGTTCAGATCTTGGAGACATACAAGCGACTCTATAAGGAGACCGGCAAAGAGCAGCCTTTCCTCAAGAATGCCAGGTATGTAAATCGAAACACCCGCGTTGAGCAGCAGAGACTAACAGGCGAGGGAATAGCTTCATTTCACCGCAAGAAGCAATGGCAGCCGGCGAACTGGGTTGCCACTCGGCGACCATTTCTCACATGGTACTCACGGAACTGGCAAATCTTCCGTATGATGGATCGAAGCAGCCCGGTGAGGGCGTAAACAAGCCCGCTCACCCGTACAAGAATGCGGCACCCACGCCTGAACGACTGAAGAAGATTGCTCAGACTGATCCACTGATCGGTCCTAACTGGGACGGAAAGCTGTCTAGAACAGATATCGACTACCTTGCAAACGGTGGTTCTGAGCTTGACAAGGCAAATGAGGCGGATCCGGAGACCAAGAAGCGACTTCGCGAGGCCCTTGCGCTGTTCGTTGGAGCGGAAAAGAGAAGCCAGGCGAAGATTGAGGAGGCTATGAAGGTGCTTTAGAGAAGCCGTATCAGAGAATTTCGTCATCCTTGCAATGGAAGGGTTGTCACTCGTTTATATAGATAGACTAGCCGGATTCGAGAATGAATTTATCGATTGAAAATTTTGATTGTTGGATCTCGCTTCCTCACTGCCCGACGGGGTAGTTGTTGAGATGGCCATTCTTTGGGGCCAAATTGATGGCATTTCTTCGAGCACCGCTGTAGCGTTTGTGCCGTATTGCAAATCACCGTCTCCTGGTGGCGTTGTGGTATTTAAGCTAGGGTGTTGTGTCCAGAAAAGGGCGGAATCGCTGATCAGATATGATGTGCTGGGGTCATACCCCAACTCTCCATCCTTTGGTGGTGTGGCTGTAACCATACCAGGTGGTGTATTCCAAATAACCGGGTGATCTACTATAGCATCTGGAGAGAAAGATGCAGAGTTGGGCGCGCTAGACCACGACCAGTCGTCTGCATTGTACGTTGGCTGAGGAAGATGTGGGAGACCCGACAGAGTGGCAACCCCGGAAGCAGCAATGGAAGGATTGATCTGCATCATCGTATCGTTAGGCGCAAGTTCTGTCTGCTCACTGGTGGATACAGCCGGCCCCTTGTCGGACAGCATCGCAACCACAGCGGGGTCGACTCGGGGTTGGCGCGGAACCCATCCACTCGCTTGGCACAAGGGCCGGAGACTATTAACCTCCCGAAGAAGGTCATCACGCTCGGATAGGAGATCTTGAATGACACAGACCGCCTGGTGATATCTGGCTTCTTGCGTTTTGTGGTAAGAGATGCTCGCGTCTACAATGACGTGCTTTGAAGGACGTTGCTCAGCTCTCAGCATTGGTAATAGGTCGGTCAGTTCCTATAGACATTATCAGAATCTGCAATAGGAGTCTTGATTCGATGAACAGACCATCAGGCGTTCACTGAATGCCTCTCGCCTCGATTTCTCGAATTCGCGATGCACAGCGCGATCCTCAGCAGTCCATTTCCGAACTCGCTTTTTCTTTGCCTTATGTGGCCCTGGAGACGGAGAGGCCATATTCTCATAGGCATATGGATCTTGGGGTGTATTTGGCTCCATGACTTCTTTGATGTGGTCTGGGAATCACCGCGGGTGAGTTGTATGGCGAGATCTGGGGAAGTGGGGGAAATGCGGAGAAGCATCGGCTGGGGTTGTTCCGAACTACTAGTTGGTACTCTTAAGACAACCCCACCGGCTACCCCGTTGCTAGTTGGGATGGCAGTACATTACAGATAGACTATACACAGATGCTTACGGATGAAATGTCAGCTTCTCTGGTCAGGTTAAACAGATTTCACTGACACTGCTGACATCTGCAAATTGTGGTGGCCTGATGGAGGGGGCTCTGGACTCGTCGAAATTGCCAGAGCGTACTAGTAAGAGCAGGACAGCAGATATCCATAAATAAACCAATAACTATTTTATTCTCTTGGATCTATAACTTCTGAAATATATGCTGCCTCTTATCATCGCCATGGGTGGTTCTGAAGAGTACATTGTCCACCGCGAAAAAAAAGTCGGGATATTCTCGGAACAAAGAGTGAATTTCGTAATAAAACCGAGAGGAGTCGCGTACGGAAAGAGAGAAAGTTTGATATGTAAAGCAATGATAGAAGCCAGAATCGATCTGGGCTTGTCATCGGTGCATCAAACCTTTCGCGACCGACAGCCACCCAAGCACCAGTTTGCCCGAAGTTTGCCCGGCAGCTCGCCTAACTTACCTTGACATCCCATCCTCGATTACAGCGATTCTCAACTTATCCAACAGGTTGAATGCCGCATTTGAGTGACCATATACCCCTCCCTCAAACATCTCCGTTCCGTCCTTCCCTATTGCCGCAGCGATCATTGCTGGGCCTCCTGGGTGCTCAGCCACAAAAGTCGAAACGTCATGCACAGCCCTTCTGATAACAATCAGATTGCGTCCTGTTCTTGTCTGTTCCTCGTACTCTTCCCACTTCCAAACCGGTAGCTCTTCAAGTGGAACCCCCCCAATCCACAGCCTGACTTTCATTCTCTAGCTTCTCTCGCTTTCGCTGTAATATCGATTTATTGATCTCGTTCTGTGGGAAGCGCTTCAGATTGGTGGCAAGTCCGAGAAAGGATAAGAAAGCGATCATCCATTTGCCTGGATCGACGTCGTACCACCGAATCCCAGTTCGATAGTCGGTTGGGAATTCATGGTGAAAATTATGGTAACCCTCTCCCATAAGGAGGAGAGTGATAGCCCACGGACTTTGTCTTGCGGATTTGGTCGCCGTAAAAGGTCGATCCCCAACCCAATGAGCAACAGAATTCACACAAAATGTAAGTTGTTGCTGTACTGCTGTACCTAAACACCCTGCCCAGACGAATCCACCGAGAAAATCGCCATGCGACAGTCCACATACGACAGTAGGGACAAGGTAACCCATAATGGCAAATAAGAGCACGAAATATCGTCTTTGCCATTCCACGATTCGATCGGACTTGAGATCGCTAATATCCACGCGGCCGGTGGTCGAGGTTTTGTTGTTCTCAAATATAATCCAGCCCATGTGTGCGTAGAAAAATCCCTTCTTTATACTGTAAGGGTCTTGATCTGTATCAACATAGCGATGATGAGCGCGGTGATCCCGAGCCCATTTTTTGATGTGGTCTTGCCCTGCACCTGCACCAAGCAACGCAAACACGACTCTCAAAGCTGTGTTAGCAGTGTAGGCTCTGTGTGCCCAGAGACGATGATAGCCTATTTATCAAATTTCCATTTTAGAAGCTGCAACCAGTCTCATCGAAAGTAAAAGTGGTTGGAGAAACCAACCAGTGACTATAGCAAAGGAACGTAGATACGCATAGAACACCCCAAATAAAAGAGTCCTCAAATCTAGAGGAACCCAAGGAATGCTTGACAGTGCCCCCAAAGGGATCACTATGACCGCAAACGTGTTTCGCACATTGACAGAGAATAAAGTCGGGCTGTTTGAACTCCTCTCCTTAGAGGGTAGAGAGCGAGGTCGCAAAGAAGAATGGTTCTGTTTTCTTGAAAGTAATAGGCTTGCCGGCTCGGTTGTAAGTTGCTGCATGACGAAGTAATCCGACCTTTCTTCACGTATGTACTGCTTGTGATCTTTCCGGGTATATCAGGATGAAAGATTCCTACAGGGGAGCGGTGGCATCCAATATAACCACTGGCCCTTCTCAATCGGGATACGGAGCAGCAAGAAGGGCTTTCAGCTGAGCCAATCATTGAACTCGGCTCATGAATGATCTACAAAGCAAACCTTGGTTTATTGAAGCCACGCATTGAAGCCACGCGAGCAATCCATGCTGCACAGACAGGTTATAGTGGATTTGATAGGCCCCGACCACGGAGCATGCAAAGAACATTTACGCATGTGAGTGACAGTAAACGTGATTCGTCTGATACTTTTTCTCTCGTTTTCTTTCTGGCTACATAACCAGTCAGCGAGAAAATAGCGAGAGAAAAAAAGAGCGAACTTGGGGTCGCGGAATTCTCGGTTTGATTGATCAAGAATTGTTTTAGCTTGCAAGAGGGCTTTGTGCAGAATAATATTTCTCGGGTTGGAAACTGAATAAATCCCGCATCTGATCAGCAGTAAATGTCACCGTGATGTGTGCAGATTTTATGAATTTGCTTTTGAGAAATCAAATAGCGTGGCTAACTATTGTTATTTTTTTTTTTCTTTTTCTTTTGCGGGGTGTGTTGTGTGACAGTAGAGAAACCTTAAGTAGTAGTGTCCATGCAGCCTTCTGCATCTCTCGTGCATAAGACAGGTGTAAAACTGCAGCCAATTTCAATAATGCAAATTTCTGATTCTCCTACCCTCATCTCTAGTGGTTCGCTACTTTTGCTGGACATTTGATCAGACGTCTCGATAGATCTGCATTGAACTATTGCAAGCCCCCATAAGCACTTGATTGCCCGTCTTCCGCCAGCCATGATTTGAAAATGAGGGGTTAATCTCATGATGAAGCCTATTAATACTCCGTACTGCTAGCATGGCACTGGAAGAGTTCTCAGAAATTTCACTGGTATCACGAAGCATTTGCGGGGGATAATCATCATGGGTATTTCAGAGGCATTCAAATCTGTTGAATTTACGCTTCCAGGTCTGGACATCTTCAAGATACCCCCTAGACCACTCATACGAACTCCCCTCGTACCTTTGGATACTCCCCTGGAAAGGTTTTTTCGTCCGCTCCAGGTCAACCCGAGGTTCTTCGACTTGTCACTGAATGCCGAATTTGTTTTCACGTTTGTGGCAGTGTATGTCACTGTTGTTGCTCTCTTGAATCAATTCAATGCTGGTCGTCAATACAGACCATGGGCTTTGACCAAGACTTCTACATTCAAGGCGTTCATGCTAGCACATAATGCGCTGCTTGCTTTATTTTCTGCATGGGTCTTCTGCGGTATTGTTTACTATCAGTATGACCATTGGAAATCGACGACATCCGGACTGGAAGGCAGGTCTTCCGCCCATGTGGTAGAGTTTCTATGTCAACTGAACTCGAAGGATTATCGAAGTAAGTTATAGCACTTATTCGGCATTCCTAATATAAGCAAGGGGAGTGAATCAACTAAGCATTGTCCCCTTTAGTCCTCGCAAAGCCACCCGCTGGCTCTGAAGAAAGAGTCCTTTATATGTACTGGATCTTCTATATCAGCAAGTTTTACGAGGTTGTGGATACTCTCATCATCCTCGCGAGAGGAAAGAAGAGCTCAACCTTGCAGACCTTTCACCATGCGGGAGTTATAATTATTGGATGGACGGGACTAAGATATGAATCTCCGATGGCTCCTCCGGGTGCGATGTTAAATGCGATGGTGCATACTTTGATGGTGAGTTTCCCATTCCCTCTTGTCTATATTTCATGAACTTTCAATATCATCGCCATTCCGTACTAACAAAGGGTTATCGCCATTTTCAGTACTTCTATTTCACTCTTCAAACGCTGCGAATACCCGTCTCCAAAGGATTCAAACGTGCATTGACGAGTATTCAAATTGCCCAATTCATTGTGGGCCTAGGCTTTGCTCACTTTTATCTTTTTGTGAGTTACAAAGCCCCATTGCTCACGGGCGCACCGCAGGTGGCGACGTCTTTCGAAGCAAACGGCCAAGCATCGAATACATCTACCGGGATGACTACAATCCCATGCTTGGGTAATCAAGGAGAAGGTTTCCCTCTGGTCGTGGCAAGTTCCTATCTTTTGCCATTGATATATCTTTTTGTGGAATTTTACATAAAGTCGTATACAGTGAAGGCCACGAAGACAACTAGTGATGCGGAAGTGAAATGAGTACTTCAATCCGCAAGGGGGAAAAAAAGCAATCATGTACCTAAGTTAAAAACAATTGCATTTCTCTATTTTTGCTAAATTGAAATTTCCAATCGGCGAAAGGAGTACATACACGTACAGTGGCGTTGCCAAAGTTTGAAACCTCTTATTTCTCACCATTGTCGACCGCCTTCTAATGGCAGACTAGTAGCTACCTGAGATGGAATAGATTGGCCGATAATGGCGGGTAGTACTCGTACCTGGAGGAAATTGATGTGGCTGTTCCGTTGATCACGATTACGGAACATGTGGCTTGTAAGATTTATTCAGACCGGATGTGGCTATTTCTACAGTTGAGTTCGGTGCTTCTTAGCTCGCAGAGTTCTTTTAGAGTAATACTACTCCGTATAACAAGCCATATTCCGTATTTTGTACTATTGTCGTGTGGCAGTGCCGGGTGATAAAACGAAAGGCTCCATCATTACTCCGAACTACGTACTTCCTACACCGAGAGAACAAAGGTGAAACCAGTGGGCCCAGGGGCCAGCCCCTTCTACATATGAAAAATTTCACACGTCAGGTGTGCCCAAAAGTTGTGGCCCAGGCCAGGCAGCGGCCAAGATTTACAGAATGGAGCATAGCTGTGGCTGGCGGCGCCTCAAAATATGCCGGAAAGTCAAGAAGAGAAAGTGAGGGCTCCGTAATCAAACAAAAAATGGAAAATCAAAATAAAATCAAAAGTAGCGAAAAAAAACCCGAAGTCGAATGAGGTGTCCGACAGGGGCTCTCGTGTCTCTTTTGAGGCAATCGGACGAGGTAAGGCTGAGCCACGCGGGTCTCGCCTGCAACCGGGAAGCTTCCTCGAGGCTCGAGGCACAACGCCAAGAGAAGGTGGTGTGAGATGATCGCTGGTGATGGAGTAGTTTTGGAGAGGGTATGACACAGTTTCCCCTGAACTGGAACCAGACACGAGCCCAAAAAAGACTAAGTTATTCTTAGGGCTAAACCCAGAATCTATCGAGAGGAAAAATTCGAAAATCGCGCGCGCGAACCCTTGGGTTGGCGGACGGGTTTCCCGTCAGAAGACAGAAAATTACCCGGCGATCTTAGTGTCTGGACAAAGACTCCACCGAGAAAAAGAGGGAAACAAAGGGAAAAGAGTGAAAAGAGTGGAGAGTGGCAACGGGGAAGCGCCTGGAGGTGGAGACCATCACAGCTTTTCCTGGGCTTGGCACACTAAGCTGCTGCTCCCACATTCCCGGTTTTCTTTCTTCCCTTTTTATATACTCTGTATCACTCTCTTCAATCACTCGCATCATGACATTCCTCCACTCAAAGGCTCCCTCTCTTGCATGCGCTTGCGCTGAGCAATAGCACCGGCTTTCAGCCCTGGTCCCTGCACACTTGGCCGATTCCTTTCAGCCACTCACCCGGTCTGACTTTCAATCCACCCATCCTCAATCTGTCGCGGATCGTCCTCTTCCTTGAATTACAATCAAGCAATAAAGCCATCTGAGCTGTTTTCTACCCGGCCCGCTAGCTGCATCTTGATCACGGCCCTTCCCGAAACTCAACAATCCCGTCATTGAATCCCAGCTCCGGCCACGGCTGCTCACCGCAACGATAACGCAACTTTCCAAACGCCTGACCATTGAGCATTCCTATCCAGTCCCTGCCTCGGACCACGGCCCGTGCTGCTGTCTCCTTTCCACATTCCTCCTGATAAAGTGCTCCTGCACACCCCCAGGATCCTTCACCGAGCTTCTGTGAAAGCCGAAGGAACACCCTCGCCATTCTCAACCCAACTCGATTCTTGCGCAATTGATCCCTTGCACTTTTGTCACTATGGACGTCGACTTATAGCTGCTGTTTCCTCCCTCGGATACATCTTTTTTCTGTACTTAAAGCGTCCTTTCCATACCCATCTCCTGCTTTTGATATCTCCCTTGATTGGCGGCGATCTTTCCGATCCGGTCCCAACTCGCGTGTCTCCCCTTGTCAACCACATCACTGCCATCGACAATCATGGCCCCAAACCTCTTCCTCTGCTTGCGCACCCTCTGTTGCCCCACATATTGGTTCCAACACGGTGATCGCACCGATAACAACGCCAACCGAGAACAACATTGGGAAACTCCTGTCCCAGGAACCTATAAGTTCCTCCCCGGTCGCGGCTGGCATCTCATCCAGCGCGATGGATGCGACTTTGAAGAAAAGGCCCCTGCTGCCTTAGTCTACTGTCGCATTCTCCACCGCTACATGTTCGAGTCGGAACTCGAAGAGCGCTGCCGCTGGTTTTCGGCTCCGCTGCACAAGGGCACCAAGCCCGAGAAACTCCGCTTTTCCTCCTCGACGACGGTCTCCACTGGGTCGCTGGCTGGGATGCTAAGGGTCGTTTCATTCCGGGTCCCTACCCTAAGTGGTGGCTCGATGAGGATGGCGAAACGATGCGTCGTGGCGTCTCGCCGCCCGCCAGTGCCAACGTCTCTCGGTGCAACAGTATCGTTGTGCCCAAGTTCGATTAAATGGCAAGCGATGTCTTTTTTTTGGACAGCCATGAGAAATATTTACCTCTGCAATTACGACAGATTTTCAACACGCCTCTTTTGCCTTGATATTTCAACTTTGGCAAGCGTTTTAGCGTGTTTCCTGGTTATCAAAAGTGCTTTTTCTAGACTTCGCGTGATGACTGGGTTATTTCGGGCTTATGGTGTCTTTTTTACAGCCCATCGTGGCATTCTTTTAATTGGATTAGAGTTGTTTCATGCGATCGGGATCTTGGTATGATCTGCGACGGCGCATGGTCATAATTGTCGGGTCTTTACCATTTTGAGTGAATGACACATTCCATAGAAATGTAATAAATTGAAATCCAACTGGATATCCGCTTCTGATCCTCGCCCTTCAAACTGTAGTTAAATTTCGGTTTCCAGCTCGAAGTAGTGCGGCTGAGACAGCCGCACTTCCACGGTTCCGAATCTTGCGGATTATCATATCTCTTGGTCAAGGCTACCCCATTTCCACATATGTGAAATGGCTCTGTTTTAGCCCTAATTTATGGATGATCTGAAGGTCGCTTTCCACGGAGCTCACAGCTCTACGTGTACAGTTGCTTACAGTAAATAGAATAACGTCATCGGACTTGATACCCACCACGATCGCATACGTGTTCCACCATGAAACCCCGCAATTTTCAGGTTGAAAGGAGCTGGAAAATATTACGCTTAGTTGGTTATCGAAGACTTGCAGTGGCGTTGCAAAAGTTTGAAACTCCATGTTGACTATTCTTGTTTCCGCCTTCTAATCGCGGACCAGTAGCTACCTGAGATGGAATAGATAGGCCAATATATTCCACCTCGGGTACGAGTAGCTCCTAGTCTCCCATTTGAATTAATTCTCCTGGTGGTACTACTACTAGGAGTACTCTCGGGTCTACCGGTGTTAAGTTTAGCCGGTCGATCAACTGCGTTCTTGAATGCACATCTATCATCGAAGATTTAACATCCCCAGCCTCGTCGCATTCGTACGAATACTGTCTCAATTCCCGCATTCAATCCATCTGGCATTTGCTCCAATTATGAAGCTCATTCTGACGGGCTCCAGCGGGTTCGTTGGTCACGAAATCCTAACCCAGTGCTTAGAACACCCGTCGGTCACATCTGTCGTGGCGCTGACTCGGCGTGAACTGGCAACACATGAGAAGCTCCAAGTCGTTCTGATGGAAGACTTTTCTTTATATCCCCAGACTGCTTTGAAATCTATCAAAGGTGCTGACGCATGCATTTGGTATAGTTGCTCCGCACCAGTTCTAGATACATCAACTAAATGGCCTATTACAGGACACTTGGCATGAATCCTAAGATGTTCGATAATGGCATGGCTCAACGTATAAGTATAGAATATACTATGACTGCGGCCCGTCTATTCAACGAATCTTGTCAGAGGCCGTTTCGGTTTGTCTACTGCAGCAGCTACTTGGCTGAGGGAGATCAGACCAAGCGGCTCTTGTTCTTTCAGAACTACCGACGTATGAAAGTAAGCTTCCGTGAGGCTTTTATTAACAAAACGACATTATTTATGCTGATGGGTTATATAAAACCTGCCAGGCGGTATAGCTCATGCCAGAAACCTTGAAACCTAATGTAATTTCACAACTTTGTCGTGGGTCTATTGTAATACTATATACAAAGGTGTAGCAACACTATCCTCAACCCATAATTGAGGATATTCCCTACTAGGGAAATGCATCATATGTGCCATTGCCAAAGCAGGGTCCATCAATGTCATACCCGCTGACCATTTGAACTGGAATTCCGTCTGCTCCGAACCGGAGAACTTTGCCCCCATAGGTATACGGATCCCAGCCCAATGCAGCGGGGCCCTTCTTCGGATCTTTCATAAAAGCCAAGAGATGATCTTGCATTGCCTGGCTTGTCTTGATTTCTGCATCAGAAGGTTTAGATGAAGTGTGAGTGGCGTTGTATAAGTACGTTCCAAAGAACATCATCAAGTCCGACGAATGGAAGCTGCCTGTCCATTTGTAAGGGTTCTGGTTTGGCCAGACACCCGCGTACTGGTATCGATATGTGATTCGGTTGGCAGCCGCACGAAGAATACTTGTATTAGCTGTCGGGCACACCCAGCCAGACAATGTTCCTGCATCAACTGTAGGCTGATACGGGCCTTCTGTGACGTTTGATGAAGGCCATGAAGTCAAGCTGGCATCGTTATTGGCGGCATCAGAGAAAATCGCTGGGCGAGGCGACATCTTCCCTGCAGTCGCTCGTGCTGGGTAGTCGGAGAAAATGAATTTTTCATCGGCGATAGGTCCAAATGTCAACCCCGGTTCTCCAGTGTACCGACCAACGAAGTTCTCAATCTTGGCCATGGGGACCTTCTGCATGCACTCCAGCTCTTTCGACACATTATCAGTGAAATCACAGCCAACGTGTTTGGCTACAAAGGTGAAGTTGGATTGAGCATAATCAGAAGACGTCAGCTGTTTTATAGCTGTGCCGGACTGTGAAAAAGTGCCTTGGACAAGAGGGTTGTCCCAGAAAGCATAGTTATGGTAGTCTGTACTGATTGCCCCAGCAGACTGCCCCCACATAGTAATGGCCTCGGGGTTTCCACCAAACGCGGCGATGTTTTCGTGAACCCATTCGAGAGCGAGACGCTGGTCTAGCATGGCGGGGTTCGGGTTCTTCAGCCCGGCGGCATTGGGGTAGCCGAAGATATTGACCCGATAGTTGATGGTTACCACGATGTGCTCCTGAGTTCGATTGACCCATTCCAATGGTATTTGAGCAGGCACGTCAACTCCGCCGGTTTTGAAGCCCCCTCCTGTCATGAAAAAGACGACAGGCAGCTTTGCATCATGGGAAATTCCGTACGGCGTCCAGATGGCAAGTCTCAGGCAGTCCTCGGATGACTTTTGTAAGGTGAGTCCAGTTGAGTGATTCTGGCTACCATTATCTGCAAGCAAATAAGGGGTAACCTGACTGAAGAAGATGGGCTTGCTGGATACGAATTGGGGACATGAAGGCGGAAACTGTGTCGAATCGTGATGCTTCGATGAAGGCGACAGCGGCTCTGGGGGCTGGAAACGCAGCGGTCCAACTGGAGATTGTGCGAACGGAATGTTACGAAATTCGCGCACTGCGCTGAATTCCGAGTTATGAAGACCAGTAAAGATACCAGTCTTAGTCCGCACTGTCAGAGATGGATCCGCAACCACTTGGGCTGCTGAGGCGGCGAGTACTATACTGGCCCAGGCGAGAGGCTGCATTGTGTAGTTGTGAAAGTAGTATTTGACAACTTCCAATAATTCTGCCCAGAGCACCAGGTGGCTCTATCTTCTATTTATCCCACTTTCAGGATCCATCTTTGTGGGGAAGTGACGAAGATCATCATTCCCGGCAACGCTGCTTTGCATCAAAAGCTCCCGGGATATCCGAGAGACACACGCACACCACTCGGACTTACCAAGAATAGTGGAGTCAATGTGGCTGTTGTGTATGAATGCATTGATCTGTTGGATTCAACTCTGAAACCCCCCATATTACCTCCCAAAAGCTCTAGTTATAGTCTTCTATAAGTAGCAGAATTTGTTTATCATGCAATTTAGATCGAACTGGGCGGTTCTTTCATTGACTGTAGTATATAGACAGACTCCTAGTTTGACCACACGATTGGCGCTACTATTTACATAATGGGTAATCAGCGATTCATAGCTAAGCCCAACTGCGCTAGAGTTTAGCCTCTGGCGGACTCAGGAGCTTCTCAAGGCCTTGTCGCACTCGGCTCTCCATGCCACCTTTACCAACGCGCATAGTCTCGCGCAGCACGAAAACGTGGGTGTATGTTCCAACCATTTTCACGTTCTCTTCTCCCTTGCGGAACACGCCGATTTCCCAGGTGACGCTCGATGAGCCCAACTTAGCAACACGTAGACCTACTTCCAGAGTATCTGGGAACGCAACGGAGGCAAAGAAATCGCAGTGTGTGGAGACAATGAGTCCGATTTGATCGGTACCAACACTCAGGTTGGACGCTTGTCCGTCGGCACTTTTCGGGGTAGGATTATTGACGCTGAAGGGGTTCATTCCGCAGTGCTCGATGAGATAGGAATTGGCAATGGTGTCAAATAGAGCTGTGTAGACGGTATTGTTCAAATGTGCATACATGTCGTTGTCAAACCTAAGCTTCTTGTTAGTAGGAACTTGTGTATACTGCTGGTCCTATAGCATTTACCATCTTGTCTGGTGCACCTGGTGGTAGCCATAGTCGCTGCGTGTGCGGCCCTTCTTCGCTAGAAACTCGGGGGTAGCCATGTCTGCTTGCAATTCGAATGTATTGACAGCGATTGAACAAATTACCTCGAGGGTAGAAAGGAGGAAGAATGGCCTAGCGACCTCGTCGAGCAGCGAAGGTGATCTTCAATCGCATCCCCGCTGCCTCGGAGATGGCTGAACCGAGGTCGATTTCTGCTTATGTAATGAGCATGTAGCCTTCATCTGAAAATCTGCGACCGTGATCAAGATGACAGATCTAAAGATCTAAAGATCAAAGCCAGCATGTAAAGATTCAGGAGTTGCGACCACCAAGGGTAGACTGGGGCAGATATTTGGAGGTGGGGGAATCAATCGATGGAAGCCCCCACCGACGACTCTCGGGGACGCCCAAACTCTCCGTGCCTGGCCTTATCGCCTTCTCCAATCTTTTTTTTTCTCACAATCTCCGCCACTCGACTTCCTTGAGAATTGAGAATTCAAACGGTCGCCCTTTGCGCCTCCCTGGCTCCCTCACCTCGTATAACAGCTTACTTGCTTCGGCGAGGAAAGCTACGGCCTCCCCCACCTCCCACGATGGCTCTCGTCAACGTCGAGCCCGTCAAGTCCTCTCCGGCGACCGATTTCGAACAACCTCCCGATGTTGTCGTGACACCCTGTGACCCCTGGCCTGCGCCATACTATATGGAAGGTGGGTTTCGACGCGTTCGTCCGTACCATTACACTTTCAATACCTGGTGCAAGGAGCGCTGGCGGGGTAAAAGATTGGAAGACATTTTCGTTTCCGAATTTCGAGATCGCCCAGCGGAGTATTATGTATGAGATCTACCTTACGCGCCCTTTCTCTCAAAATTGCCTGGAGGCTAATAAACAACAGAGAAATGCGCTCGATGACGGCCTCGTTTGCGTCAATGGCAAGCCTGCGGGCAGAGACGCCGTGATCAAGAATGGCCAAAAGATTTCGCACACCATTCATCGTCATGAACCCCCTGTGACCGCCCTCCCTATCGGTATCATTCACGAAGACGACGACCTGATTGTGATCGATAAACCAGCCGGCGTGCCGGTTCACGCCGCTGGTCGATACCATTATAACTCCGTTACCGAAATCTTGCGCTCCGAGCGTGGCTCCGAGTTCTTGCCGCGGCCATGCAACAGGTTGGATCGACTGACATCAGGAGTCATGTTTATTGCCAAACATCCTGCGGGAGCCTTGAAGATCACAAGTCAGCTTCAAGCACGATCTGTGCAAAAAGAATACATTGCGCGTGTCAAGGGCAAATTCCCGGATGGCGTAGTGGTCTGTGATCAGCCCATCATGCAGGTCAGCCCCAAACTCGGACTCAACCGTGTGCGCGCGACGGGTAAAGAAGCTACGACGAAGTTCCGTCGCCTGGCTTATTATCCCCCTGAGGCAGCCGCATCAACAACTGCTCAGGAAGTCCGTGGCCCATCGGGAGACGTCGCTATCGCTGCAACTCCGCCGCCGGTGTTCACCAATGAATCCGAGGGATACAGTATCGTGCACTGTTATCCCCTGACCGGACGTACGCATCAGATCCGCGTTCATCTACAATTCTTCGGCTATCCTATCTCCAATGATCCTATTTACTCAAACCGAAGAGTCTTTGGACCAGAATTGGCCCGCAATGAAGACCACGGGGAGCGTGATGAGGAGATTATGGATCGACTTCACAAGATGGGCAAGACCGAGGTAGCTGACACGGCTACCTATCGCACCCACCTGACTGCCGCACCCAACGTCCCTCCTGGAACCGATCTTGCCGTGCTTGCTGAAATCATGGCTCGTGAGCAACAAGCTGCCTCCGAGGACTACGAGAAACGCAAGGGAGAGCGTTTGTCTGGCGCATTGTGCGATGTCTGCGGAACAGAATTGTATACAGACCCGGGTCCCCACGAATTGGGCCTCTTCTTGCATGCCGTCGCTTACGGAGATTTGAGTGGTACTTGGAAATACCGAAGCAAGATGCCTAACTGGGGTCTGCCACCGAGTGGTCTGGAGGGCCCTCGTGAAGTTCCCGATTGGGCCCCAGTTCCTGAGGGTGAGGAAACGGTCCACGGGCATGGAACCGTTCCTCCTTCGATCGGGACAGAAGATGACCCTCCCAACTCAGGTAACTGTCGACGAAAGAAGAACCAAGGTGACATGGGCCATGTCCTTGTAACGGGTGTTGGATATGTCCCTATCTCAAAGGATGACCCAGCCTTTGGTCTGAGTGAGTCGTCGCAGCAAGAAGCCGAGTCTGCTGCCTCGGCGGCTGCGACTTAGAGTCTGGCGACTGTTAACGATTGGATGTGCATGTTGTTTCTTTTTTATCAAATAGCTTGATACCATACTTGTTAGATCATACTAATACATTTAGTACATCGCCATTTTGGATATTAAAATACATTTTCACGTTACGGACTTTTTGCAACTTTGTTTTATCTACAGGGCTCAGCGCTCTCTTTACACTGTCAGTAGTAGTATCATCCATGGATGATCGGATATTTTTGAGTGCCAGCCCTGGAGTACTAGTAACCATGGGATAAAACTTGGAACCTTGGAGCCTCGTGGTCATGCAGGTGGGTTTCTAGATGGATGTTACTACTTATAATCAATTTTTGGGAGTACTATTTTGCAAAAAAATCACATAGGGTTTCTGAGCCCTGGAGAAAACGAATCGATTCTCTCTCTTTTTTGAAAAACACAGCCCAATGGGTCAAGAATTGAAACCGCAGAGTATGCACGCTAAATCCAGATCTCGATCCAAGCGCCTCAAATGTATATCTACCCATAAACCACAAGAGACAGAAAAGAAAAGATAGAAAGAAAAGGCCAAACGCATAAATATATATACGCAAAAGAAAGGGTCGAAAAAAAGATTGTCGATCAAGTCACCCACAAAGTTTCGTTACATTTTCCTTCGCTGCAATGGCAGCATCGACTCGCCACATCATCGTGCCCGACTCAACGCCCCGGGCAGGTGTGCCGCGAAGTGCCTCGGGCGAAATGGTACACTTGCCTTCAGAGAATCTGTATTGCAAGCAGTTCGGTTCACTGGCGCAATGCTCCGCGCAGTCCCAGACGGTAATTGGGATTTGAGCACCTTGATCGTCCAATCTTTCATATTTATCCTTGGCGCTGTTGTCCCAGTTATCGAGATAGTGTGCCATTGTTGGGCGAATAAAGTGTGTGAAGATGTCACCGTAGTGAAGGACGGTGTTGTTTTCCTGGTTGCGAAAAAAGTCAGCATATTAGCACCCTTCTGTCCACCAGGGATTTCGAATAACCTCATTTCAATACATACATTAGAGAACCATTTTTGGTCAAAGTCCCACATCCGATCTACGTCTGTGGGCGTCATGTGGTGAAAAGTAAAAGGAGGATAGCACCATTGCTTTTTCCCGAATCCCTCGCCCAGGGCATCCTGTCCCCAAACGGACTCGGTGGTGACATGAGGCCAGGACCAGGTCAACCCGATCTTAACGGTTGCAAGTGCCATTCCCAGCACGCAATCTCCAGCCCATTCTTTACTGGTAATCTTCTCCCATTGCTCAGGGTACTGGGTTACCAGATCCGCGACTGAATGAATAGCCGCATTGGACAGCACAAATCCGGATCCGCCGTGAGCGAAAAGATTGTCACCAATTTGCATCTGATTTCCAATGTACATTTCTTTCTGCGAATCAAAGTTCGCCAGCCAGGACAGCAAATTCGGCCAGATCGGGTAAGTGTCGGCCTCAAGGAAGACGTACCACTTGGCATCGGGCCGATAAGCCCGGGCTTCCTGAACCATCGGCAAGAACTTCCACTTGTCAAGTTTCCAGCCCGGGTTGTCCATCATGCCAGATGGGCCGTTTGCGACTTTTGTATGGTCCTGCTGCAGCAAGCCCGCCCGTCCCTGAGCCTTTGCGCGAAGGTAGATAGCAAAGTCCGTCTTTGCTAACACTGAGTCGCTGGCGTTTTGGAAGACGTCCCGCGTGCGCAGGCCGGCGATATCTTCTTCGTAATCGGACACGATCAATTTGTGGGGGATGCATCGGAGCGTCGTGCGAATGTGTACGGGGACTTTGTCCTGTGCCTCTGTGATTCCGGTCTTGAGGACAACAAGGACATCTTCGATGCCCGGGAGCGGTCGGCAAGCCGATGCGAGCTCGCCCTGCTGTTGATTGGCGTCTTTTGAGCTGGAAGAGCCTCCAGACTGGCGATTGATGGTCGAATTGTTCCACAGGCCGCTGTGGAGATGCAGGAAGAGGAGGATGAGAGCCAGCGGGGTTAGAATAGGCACCCAGCGCCCATATCGGGCGGGGAGAGTAAACATCCTGGGATGGCGGGGGAGGGGACGGAGAGAAGAAGGAGATGGGCAAGAACCAGAGCTGCTCCCTCCATAACGAGAATCGTCAGAGGGATCGACGACACTTTGCGACGTACGGAATCCGTGGGGGGCTGTTTCGAAGTCGTGACAGGTTTTGAGACCGACATTGGCCAGATCGCTCGGGTGGCACCAGGATTCGATTCCTCAGACCAAGCATTGTTCCCATCCCCGTGGCTTAGCGCCCGGTTTCAAATACCTCAATCTCACTGCATCTCTGACTGAGACACGTCTGATTTGTTTTGATTGATTCCTCTTCGATCTTTCCCTGTCATCCTGTGTATCTCTCCTTTCCATGCAGGCAGCCACGAGGCCCCTGGTAGAGTGGGTCGGAGGATCGCCATAGACTCGTCATCTCCGCCCCTAAATGCAAAGCAGGGAACTCTTGAATGCAGGGGCCACTTTAATGGCCACTATGGAGTAGAGAATACTCAATTCCATGGGTTGTAGTAGATGGGTACTACCATGATATAGTAGTACAAGTGACTACGTTGGATTTGAAACTATACCCATTGCACCAAGATATGAATGAAGTACAAAAAGTCCAAATGCAGCTACTATGAGGGAGTATATCCAACGTATACTACATACAAATCGGGAATGAGGGCGAATGACCATTGCCTTTCTCCAAAATGCTACTCGCACACTCAACTACTCGTACTTATACTCCGATGCTCAGATTACTCGGGAACCACTTTGGGTATATGAAAAGCATTGGCATCGTACAATGCAAGAGGATTTTTCAATTTTTGTTTGTCATTTCAGAGAAATATCTCTTCGCCCGACGCCCGGTATTACCCAAAAGCGCGAGCCGCACATGGAATGCCATGCACAATCCTTGGAATCGTTATCGCCAGAGTGATGATAGTATTCACGACCGTACAAAACCCCGACCCTCTCATGCTCCTGCGAATACCACACCGAAAAAAAAGGAAACAGAACTTTTTGGGGTTCAGTCCATTTAGGCCTCGGTGGTGACACGGCCCTTGGGGTTGGTGACCTTAACACCGAGAGCCTTGGCCTTCTCGATGATCTCAACACGCTTGCGGGAGGAGACGGCGTGGGCAATCCTGCCAAGTGGGTTAGCTCGGGATCTTTCCTGTAATTGTATTGCATCGCTTGCGCGCATGGCATTATTGCCCTTGGTAGGTATATGGGTTGACATACTCGGCAGCGTAGGTGCGGTTGTGCATCAGGAGGAGCTCGACATCCTTGGGGTTGTGGACGAGGAAAGCCTTGTGGCCGGAGGGCATCATGTGGCGGGTCTTCTTGTTGGATCCGTAACCGATGGAGGGCATAGCAATCGTGCCCTTGAAGCGGCGGCGGACGCAGTTGTCAATACCCTTGGGCTTGCGCCACGACTCACCAACACGCATAAACCGGTCACTTTGGTGACGGGTGAAGCGGTTGGTGCCTATAGTAATCCATGTCAGTCCTTCCAATTCTTCATTCCGATTGTGTTGCGAAAGATTGTCGAAAGCCTTTGGATAAACATCGCCCTTTGGTTGTCGTCCAAAAAAACTCCGAAAGTTCATCTTCTTTTGCATAAGTATCCTCCGTCTCTGTCGACTCCAACGTTCCTCCTCTTCCAAACAATCCACAATCCATTGATGTCGTCTGTTGGTCGAAAGGCGATGCTATCCAGGCTGTAGGGGAACGGGCACGGTCGGGAGTCGGGAACATACGCTTCTTCACGATGGGGATGTGCTGCTTGGCGGCGACCATCTTGAAAAGAGAAAATCGTCAGTATCGAGGTGGTGATAGTCGTGAGGGTGCGAGCCAACTTACTTTGTCGGTATTGCGTCTCGCCGGGCGTAGAGGGTTGTCGAGTCGGAGTGAAAGCAATCTCGAAAACTTCTTCGCACTGAGCGGAGTGGGCGGGCGACCCACACTAGTGCCTTTTCGGCTAAGCGAACGGGTGTTGCTTATGTCAGCATAGGGTTAGCCGTGTATCGAGCCCTGCCAAGCTTACCGCTTTGGGAACTACTGGTTCTTAAGGTACCTGATCGATCGAAGATGGTCAGAAAGAAGAGGGGTGGAATAAACAGAGAAGAGAGAAGAAAGGAGAAAGATATGGACGATGTCTACATGGCTAGCTACAGGGGCATGCGCCACCCTGGTTGGTCCCTACAACCGTTCCTGCCAAGGTATGGTAGGAACTACAAGTTGACAATGAATAGAGCTGGACTGAATTCAATTACTGGTATATTCTCTCTCAATAGTATGTATGTTTGAAACTTGAACATATCTATGATTATACCTGCAGGTGTAGCTGAACTGGTTCTCCCTGCTTCTCTCCACTTTGCAACATTTGCTCCAGAACCTCGAGATCCGCCAGCGCCTCCTCGGGGGATTGTCTCTTCTCAACAGGCTTCCCATTGATAATCGACGTCGCAAATTCAGCGACCTCGGCAGAGACGCCTCTTCCCTCAAATGGAACTGAATAGTTGACATCATTGACGGCCACATCGTCGAAATTCAGAGCAACAGAGCCCTTCTCACAAGCAAACTCGAAGGCGTGACGACTAAACGGCGATCCCCATGAGAGAGAAATCACACCTGTCGCGCCAGAACCAGTCTTGACGACCGCATCTACGGTGTCCACCGGTGGCAAATGAGACTGTTGCAGATAGGACTGGGCTGAGACAGTCTTAATCTGCTCCGTAGACCCCAAGATCAGGCGTAGACCAGCAATCATGTGGACACCACCATCTAGAAGAAAGCCACCTTGGTATTCAGGGACCTTGCGCCAGGGAGTCACTTTCAATATCATAGTCAGCATCATTTCCAAAGAACCGAGTTGGCCCCATGCCACATCTTCATCCATGGGGGTGACATACAGAAGTATTTGTTGTCTGGCTTGACAAAGTTTTGAACATCGACCCGGAAATTACGAACATGGCCCAGTTTCTGAACCTGCTCAGCAGCGTAGATATACTTGCTCATGTATCGAAAGTTCTCTCCCACGGCCCAGAAGACCTTGCTAGCATCAATATTGGCTTGGTACCATTGCAAGAGCTCCTTCGCGGTGGCAACATCCTTGGCAATAGGCTTCTCCGGATAGAACGTGCTTTCCAGAGAGTAGGGCTCTCTTGATGAAATCTGGCTGCACCAGAATTGGTAGACTGTAAGTGGTTAGCAATGCACAAAGTCGATATGTAATATGATTCATGTAGCCTGGGGACTTGTAAATCAACGTACGCGATGATGACAGCGCCGATATCAGATCGAGCCAGTATATCTTCAAAAGACTTGCCAGCACCAGAGTCCTCTGAATACAGATCAACGTTAGCTGTACCGTCAGCGAGGGACTGGGCCGAGTTCAGGGATCGCGAATAGATCGCCTTGAGTGCGAAGCCCGGTGCCGCTTGCACGGCTGGCTATTGGGATTGTCAGTATATTGGATGAGATAAGAATGCAGTACAACGAACAAGATGTTGCTCTTTGGCGAAGAGACCTAGCGCGGGGGTGTCAGCGAGTTGTCAACCCACAGAGGACAAGACTATAACTTATGCTATATAGACACGTACCACTACCGATGATAGCAACACCAACAGACATGCTTGCGTATTCAATCGAGAGGACTGTGTACGGTATATAACTCTCCAGTTGAAGGCAGGGTAGGAATAAAAAGCAAAGAGACAAAATGACGGAAGTACATTTCCCAAACTTGAAGGTGCCATAGCAAGTCACTCCGGGTTTCGGTGGGGTCAACCGGTGTCCACTTCCGCGCCTGGGAAGGTCCAACCATCCGGCCTGGTCTTCTCGGCTCTGATTCTCGGTCTCACCTGTTTCTCACATATCGGCAGGCTACAATGACAGTAAGTGAGTCGGGCCGAAGCTCTTCAGATTACCCCGCATGTTCTCAAGATGGGGTTACACATCATATCAGATTAGCTGGAGGTCATGTCATGCATGACGCAAGAAGCTACACTGAAAACGTGATGATCTACTAGTCTGACACAACTTTTCTTATAGAAATTGAACGACAGGTGCGTGAGAGAATGTCAGAAATTCATCGGATATAAAATAGAAGAACCGCATTACACCGAAAATCCCACAAACGGCAAACTCAAAAACGAGATATGTATATCGCATGGAAACCCAACCCTTGCGCCAGATCCATCCCAAAAACATGCAAAAGCGGGAATCAATCGTATCGAATGCCCGATAACATACGTCCATAAGACGCCCACCCATAAACACAAAACCCATCATGAATCTCAGAAATCGTACCAGTCGTAAACGCAATAATCACAGGAGGGCGAGAGGGGAGGGGAGAAAGAGAAAGCAAGACATCGAAGTCGCAACAAATCACGAACTGCTAGGTCGAACCAAAGCTTTTACTCTCTCCACACGCGCCATGGCCTTCTCCAACCTCTCCAAACGATTCCTCTTTTCGATATCTCGACGTTCCAGTACGGCAACTCGTTCTTCCAGTTTAGCACGTGCCTTGCGCTCCTGCGCGACCATCTCGTTCGCCTGGCTGAATAGTTGTACCGTCAAGTCTTCTAACTCGGTATTCGCTTGCGTAAGCTGCTTTTCAGCTGCTTTTCGCAGACCCTGTTCGCGCTCCAGTGCGTCCTGTAGCTCTGCGTTGTCACTGCTAGCCGGGGAAGCTGTTTGCGGGAGTGGAGTGATCGGTGCGGTGGGCGTTGATGGGACGGGGGCTGAGGCGGAGGTTGGGGTCGAACTACCGCGCCGATAAGGGAGGAGGTTTGTTAATGTTGTCAGACGACTTTGTTGGACTGGTTGCGGTTGTTGTGGTTGTTGCGACTGGTTGTCTGGGGAGGCTGGAGTTTGGGAGGGTGATAGTGACTTGTCGCCGTGTGATGATGATGGGGGTACGGAGGAGCTGCTTCGCGGTGTGTCATATGTTGGTTGCGAGCGCAGTTTGCGCAGTTCTTCTTCGTAGTCGGCGAGTTTTCCAGCTGTTCAAGAGTCGGTCAGCGACGGGATCTTGGAGAGTGTTTGAACAGACAAAAGTTTCCTGGCGCCTCTGCTTCATTTTCAAGCAGGGATGACCTCAGGAAGAGGTCAAAGGCACAACGAAACGAAACGAAACTTCACGACAGGGGAAATGTACCTGCGATCGCGGAGTGCGCGGTCATCTCCTGGATCTGCCCCTCCAGCTCCAGAATCCGGCGCTGGGCTTCGGATGCGTCCAGGGCGCCGTTACTCCCGCATGTTGGACATGATTTCTCTAAGAAAGGGTCCTTGGTCATCGCTGCGGATGTTCCAACAAGAGTGGTGGTCATGAAAGTTGTGGTGGTAGCCGACATGACAACATGGGGCAGTTGTGATTACCCCGACTTGTTTACCCGTGAAAGTAACCAACACGGGGAAGAGCGGAGAAGAGTTGCTGTAGCTGTTGGTGTTGGTGTTGGTCTCTGATGTTGATGTCACTCTTTAATAGCCCGGTACTAGCTGCAGAGAGCAAAACAAAGAGGACAGAGGTTTAAAGAGCAAGTCGTGAAACAGAAACACGGACTTGTTTCTCGTCGAACCCTTTGAAGGGGTGTGATTTACTCCATACTGCGCCACCGGTTTTATTCGCCCAATGGCTGGGGGACCCATTCTGGTGTGTCTCAGGAACAGATCCTCCGATTTTTCTATGGTCGTGCCGAAACGATCGCTCCGTTTAATTTTATGAAATTAAAATACCACGTCATAGAATAGATCAATACAACCTAATCCCACTCTCCATACTCTGTACATTTTCTGCAATTTCTGCCTTCTCCGATTCCCCATATACACCCCCGCTGAGCGGCAGACATGTGCGGTGTGCAGGCGGGGGGGTGCAGGGTGCTCGTGGACGTTGGACTAATTCACATTAGTCCAGTGTTGCCGTCACTAGTGCCACCTATTTATAACGCCCTTACTGGGCGAGTCATTTTATTGGTAAACTCTCCATCGGTCCCTTAGGCGCCCTTGAAATGGTGTTGAAGTTGATGGATGAACAACATACCCGGGGAGGCAGGATCTAAGGTTCATTAACCTTGCTCTTTGGTCTCGGCCTTTTTGAACGGTGAGGAGCCTAGGGATTATTGGATTGGCTCGAGGATCCTAACTAGCGCATGTAGCCTGCCTCCGTTGCTCCACAATAAAATGGATTGAAATTATAATTGAAATTGAAAGGCGGTAGGATAGGCCAAGCGTTAACATAGTTACAGAGTTACCCCGGATAGTCTGGATATAGATACAGATACATACGCTTAACGATCCGTCAATGATGACTGCATTTCAATCTATACGAAGTACTAAACACACAAACACTGGCCCCGCCATTCCGCTCGTGGGATGATATCATCAATTAGGGAGAAAGGGATGCTCCCAGTCTTGCGGTCAATGCAGAGATCAGACCAAACCTCGTCGAGGAGAGGAGAGGAGAGGAGAGGGGAGAGGGGAGGGGGGAGAGGTGGTGGGAAGAGCCGAGTGGGAGAACTGAGAGTAAGAGTGAGGATTCATAGGCAGCGCGACCCTTGGAGGAAAAGCGCATCATGTCCCCCTCTCTTATTCAGTCGTTCGTGTTCGCATGGCTGGTCAAGATTGGGGCAGACTGGCTCATTAACAAGACCATCCTGAAGCAATCAGACAGGAAGAATGAAAAGGGAAAAGGAACAAAATAGAGAGAGAAAAGTTGAAAAACAAGGAAACGGGAATCTTCATTTCGCATCGGCTGTAATGGTCATGGGCAAATCACACGAATCACGCATGGGAATAGTAGCTAGATAGCGAAACAGCAACACAGACATCACAAAATAGAGGCGGAAGAAAAACTTTTCAGACTGCCAGATCATCAGAGAGCAAAGACTAGATGTATGTCGGGGAATCTAGCCCGGCACGCAAAAAGGAGAAGATCGTAAGAACAAAGAAGTGGAAGAGGAAGAGGAGGAACGTCAAGACAGGACAACTACCGTCGTCTGCACTTGTGCCGTGGGGCAGATGCAAGAATCATGGCCACATCAAACGACGCTATAGCGTCTATAATGGAGACCCTGGCTACCGAACTTTGTTATTGCCCGGGAACGTGTCGTCGTGAAGAACAGGCGGAGCTCCACGACCTCGGGTCCATTGATACGCAAGAGGTCACAGTCGAGGCGAGAGGCGGAGGTTGTAAGGGTATCGATAGGCCTAGAATCCACGGCCGCCACGACGGCTGTTGCGAGGCTTAGCGCCTACTGTGCTCCAGCCATCATTGTCCTCGGTAGGGGCCTCGGCGCTTCTCCAGTTACCATTGGCGGTCTCCTTCGCAGCCTCCGCAGGGGCAGCAGCCGCGGCAGGAGCCTGAGCAGGCTCCTGGTCGGCGGCCATGTCGTCTCCACCGGCCCGCCGGAGGATCTCGAAGTTACCCCCACCCTTAGGGGGCTCAACAGCATCCTTGTTGGAGTCCGTGCCGACCTTGCTCTCCGTGGTCTGCTCCTTGGTCTGCTCCTTAGCCTGCTTAGGCTTCTCGGACTTTTCCGATTTTTCAGACTTCTCAGACTTCTCGGACTTCTCAGACTTCTCGGACTTCTCAGACTTCTCCTTCTCGGACTTAGTCTTGTCATCCTGTTCCTTCTTGTGGCGAATAGCTTCCTGGCGCTTCTGCTCAACTTCACGCTCGCGGGTGGCGGTATCGATAGGTCGGGCCGCGCCGAAGGGGCTGGCCTTCGAATCTCCACCGGCGGTGGGGGTGGTCGGGGCTTCAGAGACGGTGCGCTTGGACAGGTTCAGCTTAGGGCGGGAAGCAGGAGCAGTTGGGGAAGTGGGCTCCTTTTGCTGCTGGTCGGGGCGCATAGAGTTGCGCCACTGGTTGTCCATATCAGCAGCTGTGGGGGCACGCTCGGGACGGTCTGGGCGGGGAGGACGGGAACCGTCTTGCGAGCGACCCTCACCCCAAGCAGGAGGGGAGTTTCGGCGGAAGCTGGAACCACCTTCTTCAGTGTTGCGGGGGCGGCCGCCTTCGCGGGGAGGGGCACCAGCGGGGGGAGAGAGAGGACCCTTGCGCTCCCAGTTGCCGAAATCACGGAACTTTCCATCGGACTCGAAGTTGCTGCGACGGGCACCACCGCGGTCACTACCGGCATCAGAAGCAGCATCCATGTTACGACCAAAGCTAGAACGTTCAGGAATGCGGCGCTCGGGGGCAGGGGGAGGGGGACCCCGGCGAGTCCAGTCAAGGTCACGGCCTTCCATACGAGATTCCTTGGCTGTAGGTCTATTAGTCCTGGTATTCCCGTTTTGAGATGGTATTTTCTCGACACTTACGAGGCTCTGCAATGCTGGTGCGAATGGTTCTTCCCTGAAGAGTAGTGCCAGAGAGATCCAGGGCCTTCTGCAGGCCCTCCACGGTCTCAAACTCCACATAGCCAAATCCCTTGGGGGCCTTGGTCAACTTGTCCTCGACGACACGGACACTTGTCACGCTGCAGCCAGCGAAAAGTTCGGAGATGTCCTGCTCAGTCGCTTCGAAGGAAAGGTTTCCGACGTGGGCAGTGTAAGGAGGCTCGGTTGGGAGAGGAAGCTGCTCGCGAACGGCGTATCCACCACGCTCGATACGGTCTGGACAGTAAAATTAGGTTAGCAACTTGCAAGAAAAAATTTATACGGTATATCTCCAACGTCTGGACGTATCAACGAGGGTGCCGTACCAGAAAAACCGCCGCCACCGCCCATGCCACTACCAAAACCCATGCCACCAGAAGGGCGAGAACCGAAGCTGGAAGTAGGTCCTAAGAAAACGTCTTAGTATCAAGATTTTTTTTTTGGCCACGGATTAGCCAAGGGAAAGGCGAACGAAAAAGCAAGACATACCACCTATACAAATATATATCTCGTCAGCGCCTGGATCAACAAGGCCAAAGTGGGGGAGGGTCTTGAAACTTACTGGGGAGGGGCATATCCTCCATCTCGTCAGCCCAAGAGCCAAGGCCTATTTAGATATCAGTCGCTATTCCAATATTCTCTCGGGTTTTTGGGGAGTTCTCACTCTCATCGGCCAAGAAGGACCCAATGGACATCTTCTGGGCCTTAGACTTTGCGGGCGCTGGTGGGGAAAATCGTTAGCTGGGGGTGTCCAAAATCACTGATAGAACCAGTCGCAGAGCACATAGATGTCCCTGGCCGTGACTAAATCGAAGATTCAGGGTCCTGGCTTACCCATGATTGCGGTTAAGAGGAGTCAAGAAACGCGCAAGCGGTCTTGGTGCGCGCTTCTCACACAGTAGGGTTTGGGAGGGGAAAAACGGAAGAAAAAAATTCAAGACACCCGGGGCGAAGGACCAGGAGTCGAATGAAAGGAATAGAGATGACCTGGATGTCGTAAAAGACGAGGTCAGTCGGTCAAAGTTGAAGTGGAAAAGTTGGTAGAGGGGAAGTCGGCAATCGGGGCTGCACGATGGAAGTGGTCGGGTTAGTTAATCCGTGATAATTTTTAGTGGTGCCGCTAGTCCCTTCAGAGCCAGCCCGTCTATGGCTGGTCCAAGAATTCACTACCAGGCACTCATGTGTAGTACAATATCACAATATTCACCCTCTCGATTGCCAGAAAACTGGTTTTTTGAATAGTCTTCATCCTGGGCACTTTATTTCACCCAATCGCCCAAATTTCACTGTGTTCCAGCAGTGGGTCCCTGCGATCGCCCACTAAGGCTTGTGCTTCTTTGTTCATTGGACCCGGGTTGACGTCTAGAATCCTCTGGGGTAGTCTGGAGATGGTTTTATTGTGATGCGCATTATTTTCTTTTAGCATATTCCTTTTTTCTCCGCTCTTTTAATCAATTTGGGTTTTCATCAACATTAACAACCTTTCCATGTTGTGTTTCCTGTCACGGTGTACTGGTGCTTAGCCGAATCGGCTGAAATATATGTTGACTAGATAGATATTCATGGAGTTAACGGTACGGTTGGCCATTTCCAGAGTCACAGGGTCAACTACCAGAAATCCATGCTCAGTAAATATACCCCGGGTAGATATTGAGACAACCAGGACTCTTCCTACTTAAAAACCTCTTGAACCTTGGAATCTATACATAAACACAGGGAAACATACTCGTTTGTTTTCGGTGAGAAGATTACATAACACAATATCACGTGACCTCTATCTCGGTATCGAAGTGGCCTGGATTTTGATCTGCTATCCATCTTCCCATGGATCAGGGAATGCTTGCCGTTCTCTCAGACCGGTCAAAAGATGAGCGGTGGAAATAGCCAACATGCTGATCCCATGTCCAACTCTCTGCTCCCCGCAGCCAAAGTGGGAGCCCTGAGCGGTTCGTCTCTTATTCCCAGCTCAAGCTGGGAAACCATTCCTCAGAAACCATGCGCGAATATGAATCAGCTAATCCTAGAGTTTAGGAGTTGCTGGGTTGATCTATGGAGGGACTGCGGGAGTCATCAAATCTCCCAATCCATTGATTCATTCCCTATCATGCGGCATTCACTGGTTCGCATGCGGTTCAACCTTTTGGTGTATGTCTTGTATGCACCTCTTCGACTTATCGCTCGGTCACTAATTCGAGGAACTGGCGGTAGGGATGCGAAGCAACATCATCAAACATCATTACAAGGATCAAGCCTCGCCGCAGGACCGAGCATATGTTAGTGCATTGTGTGGCGGTCTATCCGGCGGCACGGTAACAAGGTTAATGGGTACGAGAATTTGACTCTTGAATTTTTTTCTGTAGATCATGGCTCTGAGGAAATGCTTACGATTCTTACAGGTGGTCGACTTGTGCCTGGGTTGGTGATTTTCTCGCTGCTCGGCTACGGCGGCCAAAGTGCCTTTAACATGGTTGATGCCTGGCAGATGGGAAGAGATCCCACGCCCAGCAAACCATTGATGCAACGGATGGCCGATTCCAAATGGATCCCCCTTCGGCATCTGTCCGATGAAGAATACCGGGGCATGTTAAATGAGAAGCTGCTCAGCGTCGAGGCGGAGATTGCCCTCCTTGATGAGAAGATTGAAGAACTGGAGAGCACTCGTCCGGTACCCGACCTTGCCACCGAATAACCCACCAATATCTCGTCCACACATTCCATTTTTCATTTTCATTATTCGGTCGTCTCAACCTTCCAGCACACCGCGGCTCTGGTACGACGCTGTATCAGACCTGTTTTGGCAATAGGAGGGCTAGGGGATGCGACGCACGGACAGAGAGTGCATTCGCTGACATATTCTCTATTGCTTCTACGGAGTACGTGTCAGACTGCCCCACATGGGGGGCGGGAATAGGGGGGAAACAATTGGGACCATATTTATTTTGTATAGTTGCATAGTGTGTACGATACCAAGCGCTGAAGAAATGTACTATTTACGCATCGACCGGATTCTTCTGGAACAAATAAAAGGGGGTCAAATCAAAGCGTGCCGATCGCAAATCGTAATCGCAAACTGCAAACCGGAAGAGGGCCCCACGGCTATTTCTGCAAAGTGAAATCATTGGAGCCTCACGGGGGGTAAGCGAGGTTTCGGGGGGATGGAAGGGATGAGAGAATGGCACGCGAGCAGCATGTGGTATTATTTCCGTAGATGCGTACAATACACCGAGTACAGAGTAACAAGTACAATGTAATATTATAGAAACTTCATGCCCTAGTTACTCGTATACTCGTATACTCGTACTGCTGGAGTACATACCTCAGAGTACTGTATGACGGTGCCGAGATCAGCCCAGTTGGCAGATTGGCAGATTGGCTTCCGCTCTCAGTTTCTCCGGCGCGTCCGAACCATGAATCTGGCTTTCTCCAGACTCCTCTGATCTGCAGCATAAGCATGCTTCACTTGCACTGTTTCTGTCTCTGGAATAAGCCTGGTGTGTGGTGCTTCTCTTACTGAAGAGAAGCTGAAGCACGGATTGATCCTTGTGTGCACGCACACTGGTGAACTTACACTTGGCCCTGGCTCTGGCCCTAGACTTCGTTCTGGAACCCCCCTCTCCCTCCGGAACAAGTCAAGGTAGGATCAAGATCGAAGCTTGCCCAACATTTATTTTACTCTTTGACACACTCACACACCACTTACGATTTTCTCCGAACAACCCTCGATGTTCCGTGTACTGCTGCCTACTCTTGTTCGACAGATCAGCATCCGCTGATCGCACGTCGCGATGACCCTCTTTAACCCGACCTCGATCTTGGTGGGCTTCCTCCTGCTCTACCTGTCGTCCTTTTTCGTCTTCGCCATCGTGCGCATTGCGACCGGAATTTCAATTCAACGCATCGGTTATTTTTCCCTCCGACGCATCGCCTATGCTCCGCGAGAAGGCCTCCTGATCGAAATCCGCGGCCTCGGTTTCTCCTTGCACCCACCGTCTTTCGCCCAGCCGACATGGATCAGCATTCGATTGACCGACCTGAAGATCACCCTTGACACGGCGACTCTGGCCAGAGGGAAAACCGACCCGACTCGAGAACAACTGGGTCCGGCCAGCCCTGGAGGTCCGAAAGAAGACAATGCGACCTCCGACTCGTCCACCCCACGGAGCAAAACATGGAGGACCCTGACCCGGGTGAAGGAGCGCCTCAAGAGGCTTCATCGGCAGATCAATTGGTTAGCTCTGGTAGATGTCACGGCAGTCAACACCGCAGTGCATTTTCTCGAGGCTGGTCAGGTTCAGGTTGGATTGCTATCGCTGGCCGTGGATACCCGGAGTAAGATGGTGGAGCGGGGCAAGCTATTTCGCCGCAAGAAGGATATGTCTCGAGAGCAGCGACCGGCAGAATGGATTATGAATGTACAAAATGTTCTGCTTGCAGTGGAGGGTCGGGAGCCAGTCGAGGTATTGGACAATGTCGGCGTGAACCTCCACGGTTTACTCTATAAGGACTTGGAAGGACTTCGAGATGCGTCTGTGGCGCTAAAAATTGGACGGCTACATATCCCTTACGACGACTTCAATACTCTCCTGAAGCGTATCAAGTCGGCCCAGAAATTAGCCGCAACCAAGGAGCCCTTACCAACCGAGACCGACGACGAGATGTCATTCGCAGATTTCGTGGAGGAATTGGACAAGCCCGGGAGCAGAGATAACTCGATTGTGCAGACTGTCGCAGATTCCAAAGAGTTTGCCAGCTCTCTTCTGCGTGGTATCCAAGAGATTCAAGTTGCCCTCAGTTTCTTCCGACTCTCGCGAGGTCTTCAATCCCTGTCCGGCCAAGATCATCCCGTCTTTCTCAATGTCGTTTCCCACGAACTTGGCATTGACCTCCACCGCATGGATCAGAAGAGCCCTGAGCATCGCATGTACTTCCAACGAAATGACGTTGCCCATCAGGCTTTACTGGCAGCCATCTCCCTGTCGGTTAGCTTAGATGACGACTCGGGCGAGACGAACAATATTCTCTACGTTCCCATGGCTACAACGACAATCAAGACTACTTTGCCTTCAAAGACAGTCAGCGCCTTCGATGAACAGAATATGGAAGAACGAAACCTCAACGTCCTTTTCGCTAATTTGGTCATCACATCTCCGTCGCTGGACCTGCAACCAAAGCATGTTTCTCGTCTTTTGAAATTGGCCCAAGCCCGAGCATCATCTCCTCGTGTGAAGAAACGAAGCAACCACCAATTGATCTCTCGTTCTCTTCCCAAGGCGAGCATCAAGTTATCTGTTCATGAGCCTGTGATTCGATTTGTCCTCCCCATTGAAAAGGAGTCTGGCACTCCCGATGACTACAACCTCTTAATTTCGTCTATCTCGTCTATCTCGCTCGATGTCGAATCCGTGCATTCTGCCGAAGGTGGTGCACACTACTCACTATCATCCGTTTATCGCGTTGCATCCCATAAATTTTACTACCAAACACCCGCCGGAAGCAAACACAACCTCCTTACTACAGAAAACTTGGAGCTCAAAGCGCACCTCAACGCAAGCCCAGAGGTTTGCGTCATTGCATCGGGAAGTATCAACGATTGCTCTGTACATATGATCAACGGCGAAGTCAACCGAGGAATTCGCCAGGTCCTTGAAGAGTTCCGCACCCACCTTCAATCGCAGAAGCGAGTTCCGATGCATTTCAATGAGCGCAGAATCAGCCCACTGAGAAAAGTCCCACCATGGCTTTTGTCATTCTCATTTGAATCAACGGGGCTTAGCTTGGAGGTTGCAGGGGTTGACACCCCGGTATCTGAGATCTCTCGCGGTGTATCGCTGCAATTGCAATCTTGGTCGGCCGAGTACAAGGCCCAGAAAACCGAGCATGCAGTGGGCAGCATTGCCAGACGTCGTACCTCGAGCCATTCTATCATTGGTGACGAATCACCGTTTAGGTTCCAGCCAACATCCCCTCCAAAGAGCACACAACGCGGTGCAGCAGATGGTCGGCGCCTTGCCTTTCATGTGCGCGGGTTCGATGGGTTCGTCATTGAATCGGATGATTATCTTGAGCCCGAACCGTTTTTCTCTCTTCCGCGATTCGAGATCGCGCTTAGCACACACAGCGACCGCCTTGGGCCTGTTGTCCATATCAACTCCGTTTTCAAAGGCATCTATCTCCAATATTCCCTCTACCGCTTTTACTGCTTAGGCGTGGCGGTTTCGGTGATACAAGATGTTTTCTCCCCATTGCCATCAAAGGAATCTGGGCATACCCAAGGGAAAACGAGAGGAGCTCCAAGCATATCTCTGCCACCTCCCCCTTCAAACCCATCGCCTGGAAAGGGTGAGCTGATTACTGTCGATTTCAAAGCCACTGTCGTACAGCTCAAAGCGAACCTGCCCAATGACCCGTCCATGATGCTTCAGATTTACGGGCTCGCAGGTGGCTCCCAGCGACTTTCAACTCCTTATGTCAAGGCAAATCTTGTTCGCATCCATGCGGAAGCACCTAAACTCAAGGGTGTTTGGGCAAGGATTGGTAGTATGAACAACGTCCGGCTAGACTTCCGCAAGATGAGAATGAAGCAGGGTGGAAAACTCACGGAGGAGAGATCTATTGATCTGTGGGCGGATTTCATTAGGATAGGTGTTCCTCACCACATGGTGATGCATCGCATCTTTGACAACTTGATCAACACTTCGAAGGCATTTAAGCAGCTTCGGCATCGCTTCAAAAATCGCTGCAAAGAATTTGTGTCCACTCGAGAGCCTGAAGAGCCCAAAAAGGTACCCAGGATATCGCTCCGCAGCAAAGCTTTACTGTTTGAGTTGGAAGACGATGCCTTCGAATGGAAACTAGGCTGCATCTACCGTACTGGCCTAATTGAACAGACCCAGCGTCTTGCTCGCGAAGAGGCTTTCTATCTGAAAAGCCAGAAACTCAAGGATTCTGATCAGAAGCGCGCTTCTTCAAGGCTCAGAGCCAAGTCAAGCAGCCGGACCCTGCGAAGTGAACGAACTAGCCAAGATACTCGCAGAAGCAGAAGTGCCGAGCCACGCCCAAGAAAGGAAGACAACAGCCGTGGCGGCCGAGGCCGCAAATTCCGATATGACACGGAGGGCGCCACCTGTTTATCCTCGGAATACAAAATAACCCCCGACGCGGCCTGGGAGCGACTACAGCAACACAATGCCCAGATCTGGAAGGAAAAGATCGATGCGGCGCTCAAGTTTCAAGGCACGTCTATCAAAGAAGTTCGCAATCTCTTCTCTGGTGCAGACGAACCGCCAGATGATGTGAAAGAGACAGAGACTATTCTTGCTATTCCAAATAGACCGGGTCTCATGTCCGCATTGATCAGCGATGTGAATCTTGTAATCGACAAACCTACGTTCCCAACCGAAGACATCCCCGCTTTCCTTCACAAAATCGGCAAAGGAATGCCCATGGACATGAAATATGGCCTACTCCTCCCGATGAGTTTCAATTTGGAAATGGGCGAAGCACGCGTCAACCTGCGAGACTATCCACTTGATTTGATACATATTCCTGCCCTTCGCCCTGGGCAATCTCCAAGGCTTCCAAGTTGGTCTTTGCGGACAAATTTCGTGATCGCCGAAGAGTTCCGAAACCATGAATCTGCTCGACAGGTTGATGTTGAGCTTGTTCCCAAGGCTGAACTGCCTAACGGTGTTCACAGTGATCCTTTCCATATCAAGGTTTGGCGGTCGGTTACTCCAGTCAAAACGTACTCAGAACCCACTGTCGAGATCAATACGAGCCTGCCAACAAGTATTTCTTGGGGCGTTTCATACCAGCCAGTCATTCAGGACATGATGAAGATCATTGAAGGGTTCACCAAGCCTGAGGTCGATCCTTCTGAGCGGGTCGGTTTCTGGGATAAGATTCGATTGAGTTTCCATTCCCGGATACGAGTGCTATGGAAGGAAGATGGTGACGTTCACCTGCGCCTGAAAGGCTCTCGAGATCCTTACGTGGTAACTGGATTTGGAAGCGGGTTTGTTATGTGCTGGCGAAGGGATGTCAAATTTGAGATCCATTCCAGCGATGACCCCATGGAGTTTATGAGTGTCACCAGTGGCGAGTATGTTTTGGCCATTCCAGACTATAGTGCGGAAGCTCGATGGGCGAATGAAACGTCAACGGAAGATCTCGAGAGCAGCTCTGCCTCCAGCGAGCAGAAGAATGCTGCCCACTTCAAAAAGGTTGTCATGAAGCTGTCTGGAGATGTCAAGTGGGCTGCCGGGTTGGTCTTTGAACGCGACGTCCGTGACGATTCGCGATCCTCGGGCTTTGAATTCAAGAACCATTACGATGTCGTTCTCAAAAACCCCAAGTATATCGACTCAGCAGAGCGGGCTGGCTACGATGCATTCCGGGGCTTCCGCAGTGATCACATCCATTTGTCGGTTTCGGTCATTGCGCCGCAAAGCAGAGACTGGTCGCTTGATGGCATTCAACCCTCTTCAAGCTACAACACCACACACTTATCCCCTCGCTTCTTCACACACTTCTTCAACTGGTGGTCCCTTTTCTCCGGTGTCATGTCACTTCCAGTGCGCCAAGGTCCTCTGTTCCCAGGAATCACCAAAACAAGCAAGAAGTTCAACCGTCACTTGGCTACTGTCAAATACAAGCTTCTCCTCGCGCCCCTGTTTGTGGCTCATATCTATAAGCACAAGGATCGCGAAGATTATGCTGAGAATGCTGTCACTGCCACTGGTCTTAAGGTTCGCCTTGATTCCTTCAAGCTAGATGTTCACCAGCGACGTGAGCAAATCAAGATGCAAGCTCGTGGTCGCTCCAAGCAAACGAAGACAAGTGCCATGCGCATGAACCAAGCCCTCATTGATCTCCAGTCAGCCGACTTCAGGGCTGTCTCTGCCAGCATTGAAGGTACAAGGGCAGAGGATATCGCTCAAAACAGGGATGATATCATTTCAACTTTCCAGCAGCCAGTTGCCTCTGTCGATCTTTCTCGATTTACAATCCCCGACCAAAACTTGGACTGGATTGATATGGATGACTTCGTGGAGCCAGACTGGATCCTCCCACAAGAGTCAAACCCTAAAACACAGATTCTACCATTGGCATTTACCCCCCGACTCACCTATTTCCGCCAAACCGATCACGATGATGTTGGGTCCGAGGAGACTGGCTTTAGTACTTTCGGTTATGAACCTACTCATGACTGTGTCATGTCCGAGACCAACGATCCCCGTCGCGTTCAGATCGAATTGACCAAAGACCGCCTCGCAACGGTCGAAGCGCAAATCCGCAATTACGATCGCACCATTGGAGAACAAGAGCTCAAGTTAATGAGGGACGTGGATCATGACCCTGAACTCAAGGAAAAGCACGAGACCTACCTTCGCCAGGCTGAATCCTTGGCCCGGCGACAAAAGTTCTTGACGGCCACCTTGCACCGCCTCGAGAGACACCTGGCACGAGACGAGCGCGCCCACAAGTCGGGCCCCAATGCTGCTGCGAGTGAAACCTCTTCACGAACCGGATTTGATGCGGAATCTACGGCTGATGGTCGTTCCCCTGGCCTTGATGGCCTTTATTCATCAGCCGCGGATGACTTCTCAAGCGACTTCAACAATCGATTCATGATTCACAACGTGCAGCTGAAGTGGAACAACTCACTACGGAATATCATCCTGCGGTATAGTCACCAGGTTAGCCAGCGTCGAGGATTCGTTTACTACATGTCCAGACGAGCAGTCAAGTTCATCCTTGATATTGTCGAGGAGCAGAATAAGAATGAGCGGAAGAACCCCAAGGCATCCAGAACACATACCCGCAGTGACAACGAGGACGAGAACGAAGTCGAAGATCGCATTGAAGAGTTGCTTAATAGCGCCAAGCGCTTTGTCAATGCCGAAGAAACCGACCCTTCTGACTCCAACAATGAATCCCCTACCGAGTCCGATGACTCGAGCGAGAATATTGCTCCAGAGTTCACCCCACAGAATAGCTACTATTTACGACTCATTGCTCCTCAGATTCAACTACTTAGTGAGAAGAACCGCAAGTCCGTCTTGATGGTCGCCGCCAAGGGCATGGAGCTGAAGGTTGTGTCAATCATGGACAAGGAACGTGTCGCAGACGATGTCAGTGGCCTGGTCCAGCGCCGTTTCTCTCTTGAGATGGATGGTGCCCAGTTCTTTGTCGCAACACAGAAGAATCTCATGAACAACTTGCAATTATACGCTGGCAACAAATACGGCAACGCCCCAGGATCTGCATGGCCTCCGTGGTTGACCCTCGAGGCCATGTTCGACTTCGAACTCAACCCGTTTGGCTTCTCTCGAATTGTTCAGAAAACATCCGCTACCCTCCGCTATGACAAATACAACAATCTTCGTCTGAAATACAATGAGGAGGTGGCCAAGGGTAACCATGGGCCGCATCCCGGAGGTGATGAAACCCGCATGGACCAGATTAGCGTCGACTTCCCCCACTTCCGTGCAATTTGTGACTCCGCCGAATACTACACCCTCTACATCATCGTCCTGGATCTCATGATGTATAGCGAGCCGCTCGAGAAGGTCCGGAACGAGCGCCTGGAGAAGATCATGCTCATGTCTGATTTCAGCGATCTTCGCGGTGCGCCCGAGATGGTTTTCAAGCTTCAGGCGCGCATTCGTCAACTCGAAGAGATCAAGGAATACTTCCAGATCAATGCCAAGTACCTGGATACACAGGGCTGGGAGGATCGTTTGGCTCTGGAGCGCGACTTATCACATTGTGAGGATGAGCTCTTCTTCATGATGGAAGCCATCACTACTTCCCAGAGACGGGCCGAACCTAGCGCGTCGAAGAAGAATGACGGCGTACTGCGGTGGAGCATTTCTGCAAGCGAAGTCGTCTGGCACTTGATGAAAGAGGCATCTGCCCCCTTGGTCGAGTTCCAGCTCAAGAATGCCCAATATGAGAGGACAGACAACACAGATGGGTCCAACAATAACCTGGTAGCCATCGAAAAAGTCAGTGGATTGAACTTACTGCCGGATGCAATCTATCCTCAGATCATCGCGCCATATCTTGACCAACCACGCCCGTTGGATGACCACATGCTCCGAGTCAAGTGGCATATGCTGGAGGCTGTTGCTGGAATCCCCGTGGTCGACAACTTCGAAGTTATGTTGTTCCCTCTTAAGATACAACTCGAACGTGAGCTTGGTCAAAGGCTTTTCGAGTACATCTTCCCTAATATGGGATCGGGGGCGTTTGAAAACGGTGGTTTCTCGCCTTTTATGATAAAAAACATGAAGCCGCTTGATGGCTCCGACGATGAGGATGAGGACGACGAGGACTCAATGAGTTATTCGATAAGCACCGACGGAGACAGTGTTCTAATGGATGACCTGCAAGCTTCGAAGGGCCCGGGCTCTATCGAGCTTAGATTACAACCGACCCTGTCTCTTTCTGAAGAAGGCAAGTCTAATCGACGGCCGAGCCATCTCAGAGGCCTTGCGATGACACCCATCCACCGGAGCAACACTCAGCTGGGAGTGCCAGAGCCCCGCAAACTGCCCCGCCCTTCAACAACTGGCGCTCTTACCAAGAAGAAATCTGCCGACAGCATTCGCATGTTGGCGAAGCAGCCTACCGAGCGATCTTTATCTAGCCACAGTATAAGCGCTGGCGAAGAAAGAAGGAAGTTTGGTATCAGCAAGGGTTCTCGACGACGCAAGTCCTCAGAGCCGACGGACGACCTTTCCCAGATGATGTCCCGAGCATCCAATTACATGACTCTGGCGCAAGTCAAGGTCCACGATGTGGTCTTATGCTTGAGTTACAAGGGCAAGGGTGAACACAACTTCGAGGATCTGCACAATTTCGTCTTCCGCCTCCCAGTCCTCGAATACAGCAACAAAACCTGGTCAAATCTTGATCTTGCTTTGCGCCTCAAGAAGGATGTCATCAAGGCTCTCATCTCCCATGCCCCTGCCATTCTTGGAAACAAGTTCTCCCAACACCGTCCTACCAAGCAACAGCAGAAGCGTTTCCGCGAGCTTGCTTCGTCGTCGCAATTGCTTTCCAGCTCGAATATCTTGCCCCCAGAACGTAGCCAGGCCTCAAGCATGATAAGTTTCGACTCTAATAGCGAGTACTCTGGTTCTCCATCACGGAAGTCTATGCAGTCGAATGCGTCGCCCCTAGCTCGATCAATATCCCTAAGCTCCGATACGCGGGAACGTGGGCAAGACAACACCATTTCTGATTCACGGTCTGCCGGAGATGTTGATGTCGATTCTCGCTGGGAGGTTCGTATCCCCTTCTTCGCTACTATGTTGCGCACTATACTAACTTATTTACTAGGAGTCGCGTCGTTTCGTCAATGACCCCGTTCGGCCCATGACCTCTGGTCAAATAATCACCACAGTCGAAGCCAATGGAGCTGAACAGGACGATAGGTAAGCTGTCTTCATTTTCTTGCATTGTCTCGATACGTCGGAATCGAAATTCTAACACTTCCCTAGCCACAAGAATACCATCCGCAACCTGGGCCGAAAGCTGATGGGTGGCCGAAAGTGATCCATTGATCCCATCTTCTTCCCCCTTCCCCTCCCCATCCCCACAAAATCCCTATCACATTTTAACACCTCTTCCTCGTCATTATCCACCCCTGCGACCTCCACTCCCCTGGTCCTAAAATTACTACCCCGCCTGTAAAGCACCTCTTTCCCTGCAACCCGCAGGCCCTGTGTCTCTCTTTGGATACCGATACCCTCTATGCGCAGCGGGGCCGTATATAGGCGTTTTGATTGTTTTTGATTTCTTCGGGGTTTAGTGACGGGGGAAAAAGGAAGGTCTCTTTTTTCTCCCGTCAACTTTCTTCTTTTTTCGTTTTGACTCACCGCACTGTATTTCGGCTTGCATACATAGAGGGAGTGGTGGCTTTGTTTTTTCATCTGTTACCCTTTTTTGGGTTTCCCCAGTTTCTATTCTATTCTCATTTGATAATTCAATCTTTTTCTTTTGCCCCCCTGCTACCTTGGTTGTGAGGGTTGGCGATTCTGCTACACTTTATTTCCTTCCTTTCCATTCTTCTGTACTTTATTTTCTAGATGGACGACGGGTTGATCCTGTTTCGGCTTGACCTGATTTGATTTTGACCATGTATACTAGTACTATTCTCTGAGCCTTTTCAATTGGGATAAGGCATGTTTTATATCAAGGCGTCAGTGAACCTTGTAATACTTTAGTCCTGATACTTTGAATCCTGTGATGCTAGTATTACCTACTAAGTAAACACGTGGGCCGGGGAGTTTTTTTTTTTTTAGACGCTGAGCGGCCCAGGAATAGAGACTGGGATGATATATACTAGTCCTAACTTTGGAATGCTTGAAATTATTATAATCACGTTTGCTATACTAAAGGGTATCGATATACAGCTAGAATGGATAAAAACATGGTTGAAAAGACTCAAATCACATCCTACTTTAGGCCAAGGTCTATAAGCGCGCATTCTCGTATGCAAATTAGAGAGGTGTTTGTTTTGTTTTTCATAAATATCTGCATCTTCACTTTGGACCCGCCAAATGAACCCCCAACCAAAGCGTCAAGTCATGAATGAATGGCGTAAGAAGGAACGATCATTTTGTTTGTTGATGATCGGGTTCTGGCGGGTTACTGGCAGGAATGTTTGTCATTTCATGGGATGTATCGGGAACATTGTTGGCGGTATCTTCGGAGTCGGCGGTATGTTTGGAAACGCCGTCAACACCGGCGCCATTAACGCCATTGACGATATCCGTCCCGTCGGTACCTTCGATGCTGGGTTTGCCCTCGTGGCTGCTCCCAGGCTTGGCTTCAGGGGTAAGTCCACCGTGGCCATCGACGCCAGGTGTCGAAGGGGTACTTTGCTTTTCACGAACCCAGGGAAAAAGACCGGGGATGGCTGCATGGACGGATTCAAAACGGGTACGGGCAGTCGGAGCGGTGATATCATCGACCCAGGGGATGCCGCCCTGTCCGCGATTTTCCGCCCAGGCCTTCTTCTCACGACGCAGATCACTCTGAACCCAAGGGATGGTGATCAAGGTCCAGACTCCGGCCCATGCGAAGGGGAGCGTCCAGCCAAGCTGCATGAATTGACGTCAGTCTGATGATGCATCTCCGAGACATCCTTGAAGGCTAAGGTACTTACCGTGAAAGCTACGGGCTCGGAGACCGTAAAGATGATGGCAGTGAAGGCGGCAGCGAAGATAATTGATCCGCCGCTCCAGAAACAGTTCATCTCGAAGAGCATTCGGCGAAAGTAGGGACTGGATAGGTAGCGGGTTCGTAGGGCGTATCTGTAGATCTGGCCGCCTCCTCCGTCAACAGCGACCACGTCCTCGATGAGGGCATATAGAGCGGTCGGCATGACGGATCCCTTGGGGGTGGAGGATATGCGGAAGGGGGCCTTGAAACCGGCCATGCGGAGAACGTCGAGGGAAAGGTGGACGATTCCGAAGTAGAACATGACGGTTGGTAGGACCATGGCGACGAGACGCACTGTTCGAATGGTTAGCTGGAAAGGTCTGGATCATGGTAGATGACATGGTGCTGACCATATGGTTCCTGAGGGACCGTTCCCCTATACTTCCGTTAGCAATGTTCAAGCTTTTGTACCCGAGCAGGCCGAGATTGGGGGATTGGCAAACATACACAATAAGCTCCACAGCCAAGATCAGCCATACAATCGTGAAATTGATGTGAAAGAAGTCGAGCTATTTCCAATATCAGCGATATTCATCAGCGATCACGAGGGGTGTTCTTCCTACCCATGATTTGCGGGCGTTCAGCGGCCGGGCGCGGGAACCCTTTTTGAAGAGATTGTAGAGACGATAGAAGTATTCAAAGACCGAGATACCGCCCAAGCATGCCGTGACGATGGAGAAGACTGCGATAGCACTAGGTTAGCCATTGGAAGTGGCAGTGGCGGGCTCAGGAACTATGGTCAACGTACTCAAGTTATGCGATAGATCCGTGCAATACCATAGTGCCCAGTAGAGGATCAGCGGCTGGCCTAAGGTATCGACGACGAACAAGATCCAGAAAAAAGCGATCGCCTTCTTGCGAGTGTGCAGCGAGTATGGGAGTGGAGGCGGCTCGGTGTGCAACGGAGGAGGGTTTCCTTCCTCCATCAGCGTGGCGATGGGGTGATTGGGGGGAAGAGAGAGGGAGGATAGGATGGAGGATCAAATGCGCCGCGGTGAAGGCGTTCAGGGGAACAGGTCGGTTGGGTGTCGCAGTGGAGGGATTAGGTGGAAGGAGAGGAATCGAGATCAGGACATGCTGGATAAGATGAGAGAATGCATCAGGTATTTTCCCAAGAGAAGAAACGGTGGATTGATTTTAATCTTTTTCTTTTTTAGTCTTTTTGGGGCTTTCCGGAAACGAACGGCTGAAGGCCAGACAAAGTAAGGCGCGCGCGCCTGACGTAAGACCCTGATGTCATTGTTCCTCTACAACCGGTATTACAGTAGTATAATCCAGGAGATATATTTATTAATTATCATAATAATTATAGTGATAAGTATAAGTATAACTCCAGATTATCCTGAAACACTCATCGTTACCCCTCATCTGTTGTGTTGTTGGCGTTGGTGTTCTCTTCTCGGCTGACGATACTCCAGAGTCAAGCCGGTTTTGGCCATTGCCATCCCCGTTGCCATCGCACTGCCCACTCCAGTTGCCACCCACTAGAAACATGTACTTTTGGGGGGGGAGCAATGGCTTCTTTTTCTTCGCCATTTGATAGAATAGATTTACCTCAGTATATATCAGTACTATAGCTGATTTTAAGGAGTAGCTTGACTTAGGGAAATTTTTCATTTCAAAAAGTTCCCAAAAAAAAACAAACAGCCCAATGTATACTTCGTATAGGGATCGGACTTCGGATCATGCAACTCCGATTGTCACGGCGATCCCGAACCGACCTTTCCGATGGGATTGCAGACAAGAGAACTGAATGCCAGTGCGCATATCAATATTTAAGAAACTTAGTTCTGACAATCAGTATTTCATATTGTATTTAAGTTCATTCATAACTGTATTGTATAATTTGCAATGACTTCTAGCATTATGTTATGTTAGTTATATGTGGTCACCTGATTTTCAAGGCATCCGGAATGCAAATCACGTGCCTGATCGATGACGCCTGCAAACTCCAACGGCCTCCGTTCGAATCCCTCTGACTTTTTTTTCATCCTCATTTTCCAGTCATTTACTCCTTCCATCCTCCCCTTTCCCCTCCGCCAACCGAATTCCCTTTACCTGTTCACAGGGTCATGCCTTCCAAAGGTTAAACCATGGCCCCGAGTCTACAGGAGTTGATTGATTTCCTCCTTGGCGAGGTCGCGCTATGCGGCAACCAGGGTGCGTATCATTTAGCTTGATCATCCAGACCCACTTGACTCAGCCTCTAGTATACTTCGTGCATACATTTGAATACTTCACTGGTTAACCATTGATCAAATATTTCAAAAGTACTGACCACCTCCCAGGAGCAACAATTTCAACTGTGCTCCAAGCAATTGAAGCTTTCTACAAGAATGCTTCCCAGGATGCAACCCAACTGCGCCAGACCGTTGACCGTCGTTTCAAGGCAAAGGTTTGGACCTGGCTAACGCAACATCCCGAGGTATCGATAGGCCAGGAAAACGAGTGGCAAGGCCTCTCTCTGGACGAGGCCGAAAAGCTTGACCGTGAGGACCAAGAGCCAAGGGACTCGAATGCACAGGACATAGAGACCGAAACATCATCCACGGTTGCGCAAATTCGAATTTTTGTCCCTCGGGAACGGACCTGGCATGCGGTCGCCGGCCATGGCCCTGACGAGACCAAACTTCCTCATTCGGAATTTGTCTTGCTTTCAATCATCGCCGCCCACCGTTCAGCAGGCATTGATCAAGTCAGACTGGTGAAACTGAGTGGCCAAGATAAACGCTCCGTTCCAAAGCGAACAGATGCTCTCCAGAGAAAGGGATACATCGAAAAGCGTGCCGTTCAAATCAAATCAGCGCGGACTAGTCTATGCACCCACAAGCGATTCCTCAGAAATGCATCCGACAATCAAGGCCACCAGAAATCCCAAATCGCCACCCAGGAAAAAAATATCATTGATTTCGAGGCGTTCACCACTCAGCTTTTCGAAATTCTCAGGAAAGAGCAGATTATTTCACGTAATGACCTGAAAAGGCTTCTAGGTTTCCAAGACCGCTGGCGCTGGAAAATTCTATCTCGAGCCATTCGCAAATTTGAAAGAATGGGGGTCGTTGAGCGCGTGAGAGCCGAGTCACAGTACGAAAAACTACACCCTTGTGTTATACTCAGGCGTGAACCCACCGCAAAGGACTTTTCCAGTTTTCATGAATTCAATGGGGATGCCTTGAATGCTGATGTCGATGACCAAGCCGATGATGATGAGGATATGGAGATCGATACTGTGCAGCAAATATCCGGTGCCGATGATGGAGATGTGGATATGGACACGGAAAAGCACGTCGTGAAGTCTGGGCCAGTTATGCCCATATGGACGCCAGATCGCCATGTCACGAACCAAATATTTGACATCATTGATCGATCCGGCCCGCGGGGACTCACCAATTTGGTCAGTCTGGACAAGAATGGCCTTGGCAAATGCCGTACTAACACAAGCTTTAGGAAATTAACAAACTCTGCTTTGGAATCTTCTACCGCAGACCTTCGGAAAGCTTACTACACCGTCTAACTGATTGCTGGCAGCTCTCACAGCCTCTCCACCTGCGGCACTTTGCCCTTCTCAGGGACCAGGATATTCAAAAAACCATTATCTTTTACAGAAACTTCTCCATGAAGAACTTTGCCGAACGTGTCAAGACTGGCATAACATCATGGGAGGCCGTGGAATTTTCCACTGGCAGTAAGAAAAAGAACGCCCCGAAGATCCCAGGACCCGAAGCAACAGCCCAACTCGATCAATATGGATTTCCTCTCACCGGGCCACCGGCGGGATTGCTTAAAGGTGGCAGAGGAACTTTGTATCAGGGGTTGCTTGCTGCCAATCCCAAAGACTACAAGCTGACCAACCATGATCCTGCGGTTATGCTTCTTCCAAATGGCGAATTCAGTATGTTGTCCTCTCTTGAGTACCCTTGAGATAGGGTTGAACTTGACTACTGACAAGGATACGCAGCTATCAGGGCCGGGCACATTAAAACCCAGGCTGGGACAACAGGAACTCCAGGTACAATGAAGCCGCACGGTATTCTGAAAGGCCCTTTTAAGAAGCGCGAATCAGACAACCCCGACGAGGAAGTAAATAGCATCAACCTGGAAGAGACCCCAACACAGTCCATGCAACGGCCGAAGGTTTCCAAAGCCAAGCTTAACAGACTGACGGGCCTTTCCAGAAAAGAGAGGTTTGAGGCGTTGGGCATGGATAAAACTTGGACCGAATACAATGCTTTGTTAATGGATAAGCCTTCGCCTGGTGTTTACGTTACGCCGGAGGGCAAAAGAAGGCCGGCAGGCAAAAAGCAAGGCAGACCAAGGAAGAGTCGGATCGCTGTCTTCAAATCCCCCAACCTTTCCAACATGCCGTGGTTCGTCAAGGAGAAAAGTGATTCAGATGGTGATCAGCTTGTCGATGAAGGTCAACAGAGTTCGAGCTCCCACCCGCGGACTTCTATCAAACGACCCCCGCCTGGCTTCAACCAAGCCGACTCTCCTAGTCCATCGAAAAAGCCGAGGAGGGAACCTAGGATGCAGTCTGAGACCGAGGAGCTTGGAGATATTGCTGGATCAGCAGTGTCATCGGGGACCGAAGCCGCAATCGCTGGATCAGAAATCCCACCTACTGAAGTGGATGACAATTCTACACAAGCTGATGTCACGGCTAAGCATCCACGCAGTGCTGAAGACACTCAAACGTCTCCAAATAAACGACAGAGGATTGCGTCACCTGATCGAGCCGAGTCTGAAATCGCTGCTCATTCGGTTGCACCTGAAAGTCCCATAGCTCTCGATGAGGGGACGATGGAGCCTCCTGCCACACCGATGGGCGCAGGTGATCCCAATTCAGGAGAACGGAAAGGAAAGAAAGTGCAACCCAAAAGGGCAGAGAAAGGCGGAGGCTCTATCAATCTGCTCCGAAGGAAGATCGTTATGGATATTGTTGAGAAGGCCGGGGGTGCATATCCTTCCGGACATGAGATTTGGTATCCATTCGTGACCGAGTGGATGAGGTTGAAATTTAAGGAGAAGCCAGATCTGCGAACCGTGAAGATGGCAATCAAGCATCTGGTTGATGCTGGCAAGCTTCGGCAACTCACTTTCAGCGGCAAAGATCTATCCGATGTGATGGTTACAAAGACCATGGTCACGAAACCTGAAGTTCCACCCGATGATCCTTTGGTCAAAGAAATGCAAAAGAAAGTGCTAGCCACGGATCGAGCCTTTCCGAAGGTATCCTACTCTCCAAATATCGTCCTGGATCCCAGTGTTTCAAAGCACAGCTCGCGTGCCACTGGACAGAAGCAGGAACTGCGAGTTGAAGAAGGAACCATAGTTAGGCTGCAAACGAAACCGGCGTTTGTTGTCAACTCGGAAAAGAGGAGGGACCGACGAGTTGAGATGGCCTTATACAAACGAGTGGTTGGACAAGCTGATCCTGATTCCGAGGATGACAATCTTGATATTCCTGGTTTCGCTCGGCTCATGCAGATTAAACGGCCACCGGCGGTGGAAGAATTTGCGCCAGGGTCTCATATCAAGCAAACGATCATTTTCAGACCTAAGAAGACAAACTTGAGCCAGAGACAGAGGGGGAGAGCGGAGCTCTTTGTCAAAAAGGACTGAGAGAAAGATCTCCAGTCCTGGCGGGTTTAGTTTGATCATGAACCCGCAACAGACGTTCCACCCCAGCAGTGGCACTTTTGCTTCTCAAGGTATCGCGGGCCGAATGCGAAGGATACTTCCAAGGAGGCTTGCCACCATCCCGGACCCTGTCCGTAAGCTTTCTCAACTTGCCACTGCGAACCCGGATCACCAGGACTTCCACCGCACGAGTGATAAAATTGCGAGGTGGGAGATCGGCCACGAGGATCTACTCGATGCTGCGCTTCCTGATGAAACGTATATCTCGCAGACTGTTAGGAACAGTTTCTATGGGGCTCCCATCGACGGTCGGATTCGCTTTGATGTCGATGAACCTGAACCAGCACCCCTACCGCTGCCGATACCAATGAAGACTAGAAGACGCGGCAGGAAGCAGAAAGATCACCAGGAACGACGATTAGAAAAGGTCGATACGTCCACTCCGGCTCGCGCAAGATTCCAGCCAACGCTGCCAGCTACACCTCGACCTGCCAAACGACGTACCTTCCAACCAATCCCCGAAGCTCTGCTTCGGAAAATCATGCTCGCTATCGTTGCAGTACGTGTTTTGACAGGTGGAACGGAAGCACGGCATGTTGACTGGGATCTGGTGGCGGCTTGTTTCCCTGGACATGATGCACCGTCCTTGGTCGAGAGGGCGCGGAATGTGCTGAACCGAAACCGTTTGCAGATTATGAAGATGCAAAACGATTTCCAAGATAGATTCTTGGAGGCATATGCTAATGACCAGGTTCCCGCAATCGATTATACAAATTTGGATAGCTACGCCTGGCCAGCTTTGATCGAATGGGCAAACTTCCAGCTGGAAGTTTCAACATCCGAGCGAGCACCTTCTCTCCCCGCAACCCGTAAACAATTCGATGACATTTTCGCACTCCGCGAAGAGCCCGTTCCTAACGCCGATGAGATTTTCACAACCACGGTGGGAATGACTCTCAATTACAGACGTGGAGTAATGGCCCAGACTCCATTTGCCGTGATGCTAGATGGCGACGGAAAGGCCAAGCAGGACAGCCATCGACAACAAGAGTTGAAACGGGAAGAGGTTACCAAGTCATTTGTTCGAGCCAATATCGTCACGCCAGAAGATACCTACGACCCAGCCAAGTCCAACACAATCCTCGAGCGATTTGGCGAGAAACGTATTCAGTCAGCGGTGGAGTCCTTGGTGAAAAATCGCGTTATCGGCCAGAATAATCGCGGCCGTGTGGCACCGGGTCGCAATTACGATATCACCGACCATCTCCTCCAACAGCTGAACCGCAGACGTCTGATCGAATGTGGCATTCTCAAACAAGCCACAACATTCAAGACATCGACACTTGACCCGAAGATGCGAGACGAGGGCACCGCCGAGATTCAATATAACGCCGAAGACGGCCATATCCTGGCTACGATCAATCTCTTCGCCAACGGTCATGTCAAAATCTTCCCCCGCGGAGCCCCGCGCGATAAATTCGGTCTTGTAGATGATGGGTATCTCACACGGCAAATGGACAAAACAAAACTTCGCTTTGCGGTTGATGTCAAACCAACTGATTCCTATGTCTACGGCAATCCTATCCACGAGCGTGTTACTAGCACCATGCCCCCAGCATTGTCTCCGCCTGAGCCTGGCGTCCCGCAGAAGATACCTCTTTGGATGGATCTCAATGGACATCTCGTGGAGCCGCTGTGGGAGATGGGGCTTGCCTCTGTATTGGGATGCTTGGTGCTGCGGGAAGGTCTCTCGGCGAAGGGTATTAGTAGCATGATCAAGCCGGCGATGGCGCCCTGGGAGATTGAGGCGATGCTTGGTTGGTTGACAGATATCGGTGTTGTACATGGGGAGGAAATTGGATTGGAGAAGAGATGGAAAGTACAGGAGTGGTGGTGGATGGTACTTTCATGACGATGTTGCACGGTCATGCTATTTTATTTATTTTAGCTAGTACATTGCAAATGTCAATGAAGATTTCTAATATTCAATATCTACCTATCCACTGGTATTCGTATTTAAAAGGAAACATAAACCCCAAGTAAAAAAAGGCTATACCAAACGCCGAGCGGGTATCTAGGGAACAAAATCGATGCATAGTCACTCCTCCGGACCGGCTCTATCTGTAAAGGTGCTTCGTAGACGAGCAGCCACAAGTACAAAATTTGCCCATAAATGAAACAACCTTAAGCATATCATGACGTATCGGCTTCAACGCAGGAACATCTGAATGGCTTTTAAACCCATTCATCGTTATAGATCGTCAACGTCGATGGTTCGTCGAAGGACCAAAATCACCAACGCGACAACCACGCAAATGATAGCACGATCTAGCCAAGGGCTATTGGCCGGAGAAGTAGGCGCAGGTACAAGCCGAGGGCGAGTATCAAGCTGTGTAGACGCAGGTGGGGAGTTCGGGACCGCTGATCTCGTCCTCGGCGTCGACACCGATGTTGATCTCTGAACAGACGGAGATGCCGGGTCTGACACCGAGGGTCGAGGAGATGTGACGGGATCCGTAGGTGTAGGAATCTCTGGTTTGGGTGCAGACACAGGCACGGATTCAGGAATAGGAGCAGCTGAAGAGTCATGAAGATCGTGACGCTCCTGCTGCGACTCTGTCTCTTTTTCTTGCCCATCCTTCTCTTCATCCTGCCCCTCCCCATCACCATCACCACCCTCAACACCCTCAACATCAACCTTAACACCGACCTCCCTACAAAGCTCCCAAAACTCCCTCATGCGCACCTCATTCGACCCCCCCACACTCACGACAAACCCACCCCCGCGACAAACCCGCATACTCGCGTCGAAGTTCCTCACTTCCCTCCATCCCACCAACCTGTCCTTTACTCTCGCCGCTGAAGATCTCGCTCCGAATAGCCAGAAGCGCAGTCCGGACCCCCCATGCCGGTTGCCAGGTTTCTTCATGGTGGCCCGAGATGCTGAGGCATATTTCGCGGTTTACCTCGAAGCGCGCGGAGGGTGTCAGGAAGCGGAATGAAGGTGGTCGGAGCGGGTATGCGGCTGGGAATGTGATTCGGCCGTGATAAAGGCCTTTTGCGTAAGGGGTTGGACTGGGTGGTCCGACTAGGGTGAAGTGCCAGTCGTGGAGGTTGGTGTCGTCGACTGGTGAGGCGGTGAAGTAGGGACTTGGGTGCTTGTGGAGGTCTGTTGATTCTTTGAGGAGGCGGCGGGTTGAGGGAGAGGTCATTTTGTATATGTATGTTGGCTGGGGTGTATGTATGTGGCCCTTTCTCTCTCTCTTTTTCTCGTTGGTTGCCCCGCGGTTGTTGCTTGGGGATTGTTGAAGGTTGGAGGAGAGTTGGAGGGAGACGGCAGGTGGAGTCGAGATTAGATCCGGTCAAATGCGGAGTAATCAGATGGGATGGGATTGATGATGACAGTGTTTATGCAGCGGTCCAGTCTACCAGATGTATATTGGATGGGATACAGAGAAGCACTAGGAGAGGGAAAGATGAAAGGAACAGGCAAAGGATCAAAAAGAAAGTTAATAAATACGAGCAAGGTAAGCTCGAGATCCGAGATCCACAATGTACACGCATGCTAGTCATACATGGGGGGGAAAATGCCAACTTGGCCTTTAGGCCGACCGCTTAATCTGAACGCCGACCAATGATGCAAATACATATAGATGGAATGTCCCTGTTCAATCCCAATCACGCCATTCATCCGTTTCCCTATTGCGTGTTCGACGCCCTGTATCCTCAGGATTCAGCAATCCATTCCCCTCGACTTCTTCTTCAAAGTCGCTGTCTCCAGGCCGAGGTCGTGGTGACGCAGGCGCGAGCGTTTGCATCGACACACTAGTCGGGGGACGTTCGGGAATATCCTGTCGCCCGCGATTGGGGGTCCAACTTGGCTGAGCGGCGCTGGCGCTGGCGCCGTTGCCGGCACCGCCGATCCAGCTGCGGCCATTATCCGAGTTGCGCTGGTATAGATCCCGATAATACTGCTGCTCTTCGGAGGCGGCCTGTTCGCGATCGTCACGCAGCCGATCGCGGGACTCAAGAAAACGTTGGCTCGGCTCCCAGCGCCACCCATCGCCGGTTGTATTGCAGACTGGAACAAACCAGTAAAGTGTACGCTCGCCGAAAAGGTGGAGGAGGTTGCGGCGCCAGCCGAGATCAAATGCGTTGGGCATCTTCTCACTATCTTCATCATTCAAATATTGTTGGTATCGCTCGTGCTCGCGTTGTCGCTCATTCTCCGCATATGACCGGGTAAGCGCTTGCTGGGCGGGAGTGAGGTTGTTGCTTGCGGATCCAAGAGTCGGACCCTGGCCTGGTCCATAGGGTGCCGGGGAGAGACGTTCTTCGCCTTCTTCAGCTCGGGTTACGCCGGGAATGGCGTTCGCGTGGGCATCGATAATCTGATTCCCGTATCCTTGTAGTCGTTGCGTTAAGCTCTCTTCATCGTGACCAGCGCCGTGGCCGTTGGATCCTGGGTCGAAGTGCTGTCGCTCAAGCGCTTTGCGCAGCGGTGAAACGTATCGTGTCTTTTCGAGGCATTCAATAGTCGTCACGCCCCTGACAGCTAAACTGATATGCCATGCCGTAAATCCTGATAGGACAAGGCCGATAATGCCGCCCAGAATCGCCAATAGAACCACATTCACGGGGAGGTATGTGTCCATGTAGCGGGTGTCGTTGAGAATTTCCGTCCAAACCCATATGGACGATGCAGCGAAGCAAACCCAGCAGAACAAGGATGTATATATCAAGAATAAGAGGAATGCCTTGTAGTTATGTAGTCCGACGCAGGTTGCCAGCCAGGGGCAGTGGTGGTCCATCTTCAGGACGCAGCGTTTGCATGTTGAGCAGTGGTGTGCACGATCTGGTTTCGGGCACATGCATTTTTTGCAGTATCGCGATCCGCCGGTCGAACTGACAGTGTAAGAAGTGAACTCGGGGGTCTCGGCCACAGGCAAGGCGCTGTATTGGCCGCGGCCATTTCCGCGACGGGTCGATTGTGGCGAACCGGGATCTGTGAAAACGGCGACGGTATATGATGCATTAAGCATGCAGTAAAAGAAGACACCGAGTATAGTACTAGGAAGACCTGCGAAGCCGAGCCATGCTGTTAGTTAATTGTACTTCCGCACGCAAGCCCACTAGGCATCCAAGTAACGGCCGAGGGTTGTCCGTACCAAGCCAATCACTCCGTGACTCCTTGAAGCCGATACTGGCCTCGACATAGACGGCCCAGGTTGTAAGGCCGTAGACGAAAAAGAGAGGAAAGCAGCTGGCCGCGGCGCAGCAGTAGCGTTCACAGCGGAGTGCCCAGGCGCGAGGGCGCCGCTTCGGCCATGTCGGCGAGGTCGGGGGTGATGAGGCCAAGGTGGCCATAACTGATGCTTGCTCACTCAAGCGAAGGGTGGGCGATGGGCATCGAGGGGTGTATATTGATCGGGGAGAGAGCTGAGGCGTTGCACCTGCACATCGGGGTCCGGCTTCAGCGGCGTCGTAAGCGGGCCTGACTCAGCCACCTCAGCCACGCCGAGCCTCGTAAGGTGGAGTATACGGAGATCAATCTTGGAAGAGCAAAAGTACTCTATATGGTGATAGAGGACCTTCGAAGATATACTTATTAGTTATTTCATTGCGTAGATTTAGTCTAATGAATACACCAACGGAATTGCTGCTTGAACTAATTGATATAGCGCTGGGTATCTTTGTAAATTAGAGAAGCTATCTATTCCACCTAGTGACTGACACTTGAGCCCTAGGATATGATGATATATTCAAGACAGTGCAGTCTGGGATGATAATAAGGACAGTGCACACGCACGCCTGATTTTATTTACAGATATTTCATGAAACGCATTGGCTTATCCAACCAACAGCAACGCCACGTATGAATGGGGCAAAGGAGTGAAAAGACAAGGAATGGCCTCTCTAGGATGATGTCTTGCTCGTGGTGGTTGTGGTAAGAGCCTGGTCACACCAACCATTGACGGGCTAATCGCAGATATTTGTTAGCAGGTGCAGAACATAAAACGGAGATAACTTCGACTTACCAAGCAACTCAAGCGGTAGCACCAGGAGCAGTTAGATTTGGGGTATCTATAGAAGTCGATGATCAACATGATGAATCCGATCAGGACGGCGACCAGAGCACCAGCTCGGATCAGCCACCAGGCCCACCAGAGGGGCTTTCGGCCCTTGAAGAAGTTGAGAGGATTCTTCTTGGATGTGTTCTCATCGCTTGACGAAGAGACCATGCCTCCACGGCCCTTGAAAAAGTCCATGAATGACGTTGTTTTACGGTTGTCTTCCGAAGGCTGGGCTGCACCACCGCTCATCGCAACATATGGTTGGCGCGCAAGGCCGATTCGTTCGCGTAGCGCATTGGGAGAGCGCATGATGCAAAGACCAATCGCCAGTCCCATGACAAATCCACCGATATGGGAAAAGTTATCCAAATCGGGGAGTAGGCCGAGCACGAACGAAACAGCGATGCCGAGAATCATGACAATCAATTCCACCCATCGGGATTCACGATTCGGCCAGTCGTACAGAAGATCCAGTAGGAACAGAGCCATGATTCCGAACAGGGCACCCGAGCAGCCAACACTAGGCTCAGTCTGAGAAGCGTAGTTTCCACCGAGCACATAGCCGAAAATACCACTGGCAAAATAGGCCAATGTGAAACGCCAAAATCCGATTAAGCGTTCCATATCTGTGCAGATAAACATCTGGGCGAAGAGATTGATTGCGATATGAATAAATCCGCCGTGCAAGAAGATCGGAAGGATGAAGCGGAACCATTGGTTTGGTGATGGATTTGTATCCAGGGTGACGCCTTTACCCGGGTTGGGGACGCCGCCAAAACCGCAAAGCTCAGAGAGAGTGCATATTTCGTCTTTCGCATCGGTTGTTGTAGAGTTCGGGCAAAGGAATGTGACAGACTCGCCCAGATCTTGAATACCCGGGGTACTCTTCATGCATGGGGTGAATCGAGCGCCCATATAGATCTGCATGTAGGCGGAGGGACCTAAGAATGGATTGTTTGCGGGCTTGGTGATTGGAGAACCGGTCATTTGTGCTATAGGTAAAGACGAGGTTAGTCTAATTTCAATCCCCAGGTTTCTTGATCGAACAGGCGCAACTCACCAGTTTTCACCAGTTCGATGATGAAGGTTATAATCATCGCCAATGTCAAAATCCATGTTGCCCAAGCGGGCTTCTTCTTGAAAAACCCGCGCTTCTGCTGACGGGGGTCATGACGCCCTCTACTGAGGTTTTCCACCGCGCCGGGGGAGGGTGGATAGGGGTTGTGCTGAGTTTGTTGGTGCTGCCATTCGGGGTTGTTGCCGAATTGTGTTTGCGACTTGAGTGGGATGTTCTCTGAGTAGTGGTCGCCATCTGGTACTGCCCCAGCCGAGTAATATGGATTTCCATCGGAGGCAATCGAATGTTGGCTCTCGCGGTTGTGATAGGGGATGGATGGGTCATCATGATGGGACTGGTTGTAGCTAGAGTAGCCAAGGCCAGGAGCCGCGGCGGTCGCGCCAGCAGCTGGGGTGGCTCTCCCTGGCGCGCTCACCCCGGGGCAGCATGCTCGTAAGCAGGGGGACTGGGAATGTTCGAGTGGTAGTAGTCGTTGGAAGCCATGGTGGGCGAGCCGAGGCCGTGAACGTGAACAGGGGATGGTCGGACAGCCCGGGGGTCGTTGAATCGTCAAATCGCCAAAAAGAAGGTTGGAAAGTGAAAGTGAAAGCGAAAGCGAAAGAATTAGGCCCTATTAGCGATCGAAAGGGCGAAAGCGCGGAAAATGATGGTTGAATGGAAGATGAGGAGGGTCGAGAAGGCAGAATATAGGAAGAAAGAAAGAGCCAGGCAGTCATATTTGGGGAAGTTATTTTTGGGGCGGATCATCAACGCAGCCGCGCGGCGAGTGCGTGTGTTTTGGCGGAGTCTGTTGATGCACAAACGCCCAGGTGCTTTGAATTGACTTGAATTTACTTGCATCCCTCATTATAATGATGGTAATTATTATGATTATCATCACTATTATTTTTCTATTATCATATTCTATAATTTTCTTTATTTCATGAAGAATCAGGGTCAATTGATCAATTGACGCTGTCTCACCGCCCGAAGTACTTAACTATGAGTACTCCGACTCAGCCGCAGCGCCAAGCCACGGGGCGATCAACAGGCCGCTAAAATTCGCAGTGGAGGTGCCCAACCGTCTGAGGCTGGATTTTACAGAGAATGCCTGAATGTCTTGGTAAGTGTAAACCGGTTGTTCTGAGTTGACATTAACTATTAGAATGGGTAGCAATATGATCCACAAGGCCATGTTCCCACCGCAAACACCCAAACATCCCCTCTGGGTATCCAGGTATCCTGGTACCCCGAGACGTGGCAGATTGGCTTGGTTCGTGTGCTCGTATTTGTGTCATCGGCCGCAAGGGTCCCCGGTGTAGGTCATCAGGTGAGTTCGATCACTGAAACGAATGTGGTATCTTCTCCGAATACTCCCACAGCGCCAAGAAAAAGAGAGGGAGAAAAATGTGGCACAATGCTGCTAGGGCGCGAACAAGAAGAAAGACAAAGGTAAGGAGAACAATTCCACGTAGAAGACCAACCGGGATTTGCAATTCGACTCTCTGTATGGTGCATAGTTGCTTGCCAATCAACAAGGGGAATTGCATTTCATCGAAGAAGTTCCGCCTCAGCATGAAGCAGCCATGGGTCACGTAGTATATACGTTGTCCAAATGGAGTCCTCCGAGAAACGGCCGAGGGGAATCTTTCACCGTGACCACGAAGGTAGGATGATCTCGGCGACGGAGGTGGTCGAAATCGTATTTCCATGCATGTCTATCATCCTTAATGTGGCGCTGGCCTCGTCGCTGTGGCCTGTCACCAGCCATACCGCACGGGTGAGCTTGTGGAAGAGCAGGATCGGGAAGTATAGCAATAGCGCCCACAGTAAGAGTGACAAGACGATCAGCACAAAGGTATTAGCGACACACTTCTCAGTCGGAGTCATGACATAGAGACCAAAAGTGACTTCGTATCGATAGTACTCGAGGCGGACGCGATCAGCCACTCGTTGGAATGGGCTCCGACCTTTCTTGCGCAACGTATTTGAGGCATTGGTCATGGACGAGGAGTACCTGGTGAGAAGCTCATCCATGGCCGTTGGTGCATGTGAGACGTTCGTGGTCGTCGAAGTATAGCACGTTTGTATCTTGGTTGTGGTTGTCATTGTAGCCATGGCGTCGATCTATCGCCGATCCTAAGACGAAAGGTGGAGAGGAGGCGAGGAGGTAGATGAGGGTACTCGGTATAGTTTTCGTCTGATGGTCTCTTTCCTCTCTTTGGTATTAGTATAATGAGAAGAAAGGGAAAGTGGCTGGGCAAGAAGTCACCCGGTAGCGGTTTCCCCAAGTGAGGGTCAGGCGCAAATGAAATTGACCTCAGCCCTAAAGTCAACTGATCGGAAGCTGCGGATATAGACGGATATATTCAGGTTGTATTTGCGAGAGGAGATGGAATGTATTAAGACGAAAGTAGTAAAAGGGAAGGCTAGGGGAGAGGATATACTCCGTGGGCATTGGGAGAAAGTGCAAGTGAGTAGCTTTAGGAGAGAATAGACTACTAAGTATAGTAATGCCATCATGGTAGCAAGCTTGAAATTTGAAGACTGCACCAGGCCACGGGCCGAAAACCCCGAAAAAGGGAATCCGAAGAAAGGATCGGAACGGTCGGCAGGGTTGAGGAGTCGAAAACTACTGTAGTTCATATTCAGCCCTATCCCCAACTTGGCAATTCGATATTCGCATTAATAATGAGAACCAGTCCGGGCCAAGGGAGTCCTATATCAGAAACCGGTTTTGGGAGAAGACTGAAAATTGAGAAACAACGGTGGTTATATTTAATGATAATTTCTGCCCGTTCCTGTGCCTGTGCCTGTTCCAAACCCGAACTTGGTGCGGGAGGTCCCAAGAACAAACCGTGGTTGGTGCCTCGGATCAGTGCGGAGTATAGTGTGCATCAATCTATCGCCACGCTAGTAATTATAGAGGGTCTTTATCTATCTCGATGTATATATGTTTTTATTATACAGATACTTGTGGTTCGATGAATATATCAATACTACGTATAACTACAGTGGTGTTGCAATAGTTTGAAACCCCATATTGCCCACCATGATTTACCGCCTACTAATGGGAAACTAGTAGCTACCTAGGATGGAATAGATTGGCCTAGCTTTTCCATCTCAGGTAGCTACTAGTTCGCCATTGGAAGGCGAAGACAAGAATAGTCAACATGGGGTTTCAAACTTTTGCAACGCAACTGTACTGTAAATCATCTTGTATACTTTGTTTCAGCCATCATCGGGCTAGGCCCGGTGATGCCTAGGGTCGGCCCCGCTACCCGCACCCACGCCCATCACTTGAACTTCCTCAAAGCAAACACCCATTTCATGGCGAGAACATCGCAGACTGCACGCGATTCGAATGAAGAGCCCTTTCGATGGCTTCAACGAGAATATCTTGACCACAAGGGTAACAAGGTCATTCTGGCAAAATTCGTTTGCTGGGGCAGGCAGTTCTATCAACCGGAGGAGAACGAGGGGTATCGACTCTAGATATACAGCACCCTCCCTATCCAGCCAGAGAATTTTTGCCAGCTATATGGTTATTTCTTCTCCGAATCCCGGCGGTTTCCCTTTCTCGAAATTTACTCATACAACCTATCCGATGCTCTGTCCTGCGTGGAGCACCAGCGCTACGAGGTCGCATACCGAAAGCGTCTTCATGCTGAGCAGTGAGGAGACGAAAAAGACACAATTCTCCCCCCCCTTTGATCCCTACAATGCGAAATGGCTGCGATGATCAGTTTATGTCCGGATTCTGTTTTCTTCTCATATCCAGGAGCTATCTCCAGGGCTATTTTCGTGACAATGACCATGGCCCAGGCCCCCTATGGATTAGCTTCGATCGCAGCCTTCCATCTGCGCTAAAGAAGCTCCCAATGATAAAAAGGCTAAGCAGTTCACCAACTAAGCTTCGCACCTTTGCAGAGTGGGGAATTGCCGTCAATCCTGAAATGATTGATGTTACTGTGCGAACTACAGATGAGGAATGTGATCTTCAATATGTGATATACGTGCCCTTTCTTGCAGACATTGAGCAAGAAAGGACCACTTTCCTGGAAGCGACGGCCCGCAAATTCACCGCCAGCATTATCTTGCATCTCTCTATATTCAAGCCTACTGTCTCCAAAATAGTTCGCTTCGAATTTAGGATCCCCGACTCTTCTTCTTTATCATATTTTCTTTCAGCACCACCGGACGGACTTGATATTGGCGCCTCCCATGAATTTGAGACAGCCCCAGGCCCGGAAACGCGTATACGAACGCTGCCTATGGGTCGGCATGACATCTGTTTTCGCCCATTTCCTCATTATTATTTTACAGTGATACTTGATAAGCCTAGCTTTACCCAGGAGCCCAGTATTATGTTTTTCACTCTCGAGACCAACGGGGACACCGATATTGAGATTACTCGGAGCGCCGGCACCCACGAGGTTGTGAGACGACTTGCAATGCTTGCGGTGGAAGAGAACATCCAAGATGACGCAAGGACGCTCACACGAGAGGAACACAGGGAATTGCTGTCTTTATCACGAGAGGAGTATGAGCAGAAGATGGCCGAGTGTGGGTCAGTTTATCATAGACTGCCAGTATCGCAGCCTTTCTATGAGTAGAAATACAGAAATAGGAACATAATGATCATTTCCGATAAAAAAGGCCGAATATTTACTGGAACAACCTTAATTGAGTTTCTTTGTGCAGCAATGTGGTTGACAATGTGGTTGACAATGTGGTTGACAATGGGGCTGTGCTGACCCAGCTACGGCAGTCCATAGCCGCCAGTAGTGCAATAATTATGTAATTCCTTATTCCTTATGTTATTGGTCAGAATTAAGCGGATCCCTTCCAAGATAGGACTAGATCAGATATTTTGACCAATGGGAGATGCTTATCTGCGGGGAACCCGGAGGTGTACTACAGTACTTTAACATACTCGTACGAGTAATACTCAGTAGCCATCGCCCACTAGCTTTTTGTATGTACAGAAATCGTGCTCAGTGGCCATTACCTACGCGTTCGGAGTAGCTATTACCTACACATGCTTAGTAGCTAGTACCTACACGTGTAGGCAACGAGGTGGTGGGGTAATTCTATACATACATAGTACAGTACATAATATTGCCCACTGGCGGCTATTGGCTGGCTGCCGTACCCAGTGATGTCACCCAATCTTCCCCGCCATCCGCGCGACTCAATTGCTCCTCTGTCAACGACTCGTGTTATCAACCATCATGGATGCCAATGATCCACTTGTTCAGGCCCTGCCACCGGCCACTGACTATTTGACCTACCTCACTTTACTAGAGTACCAGTTGACTCCTGAGCGCCTGCCACTATTGCACCAACTTCTGCAAGATGAGCGTCTTACCACCAACATCGGTTGGGACCTCGTCAAACTGCTTCTCCCTATGCTCCCCGCATCTACCGAATGCCTTCAGGATGTCGCTCGACTCGGTAACCCACGAGAGGTGATTCTACGTGTGGCGGAAGCTCTCGAACATCTTCAACCAGAAGATGGCGACGACGAACTCGCCGAAGAGAAAAGCGATTCGGGCAAGCCTCTTCCGTCGCACATTCTCCAGTTCAATTGTCTCCTCGCCATGCTGTCGGTTCTGCACAACCGCATTAAAACGAAAACCCCCAGTCGATTCATTGCAACCTCTCTCCAGGCCGCATTGGAAGCCTACGAGGCCATGCCCTCCGACGAGACTACCCTAGCCTTGCTCGAGTTCCTTCGCGACGTATCTCCCAGCAAACGACCTGCTCCGCCTCCACGAACCCAGAGTCAGTCAAGCGTACTACGAACCGCCGCTGCCTCAGCTCCAGACCCGGAGGCTGAAGCCCATTCCCCATCCCCCGAGGCCGATAACGAAACACAGCTCGTGCGGAAGTTCATCCAATTCGGTCTGATCGAGCTACTCAAGTCTTATCTCTTGAGCTTTTCCGGTCCGTTGGACCCTGGACTGTCTTGGACTGTTCGCATACAGGAGGATCTGAACCCAAACCTGCGTTTGCCCGAGCAATCGCAGCTGGATGCGTACACTAGCAACAAGGATCTTAAAGAGCGAGACATGATTATGGGCAAAATTGTGGTAAGTTGAGACAAAAATACCCGACAGGATGAAGAATTGAACTAAATTGTCTCTATGAAGGCGCTCTCACGGGACGTTGGAATCGAGAACAACGATCTTTTGTCGATTGTTTCACGGTCGGCAGCAGACCAGCCACCCCCACTCGACTTCGAAGAACCTCCCGCCACCCCCGATCAGATCCCACTGGAACGCCATGGCTCTCTTTTACTGCTGGCAGCACGGACGGCTGGCGCCCACGTTTTCGCATCTGGACAGCCAATTCCGGCTCTCCCAGTCTTCCCTGATCTCGCCGAAATATTTTCTAATTTCGTTGGGGGCCAGGATAGCCTCGATGAGGTGGCCTTTGGTCAACCACAAGCTCTGCTTGATTCGCTGTTGGCGCTGACCGTTCATTCGACGATACAAGAAATCCCGTCCCCATCTAATGAGACCGAATTTAAAGATTTCGTCATATTACTGACGGCTTGTACCGCCCGTCAAAGCCACGGAATTGTTCGCCAAATTCCAAATGCAATTGTACACAGCCATCCATCACAACTCACCCGATTCAAGCTCATTCGGACAGTCTTGGAGAATGACCGCCTAAACTCCGCCCGAGACAGCGCAGTCACTTGGCTAAGGAATGAAGTTCTTGATGCGCCACCTGAATCAACAGAGTCCCTATTCCGTGATCCACTATACTTCTCGGTCCTGTTCCCTCTGCTTTTCCGCACCGTCAAGACAGCATCGTCAACCCCGGATCTTGTCCAAAACTGGACCCGCCTTACCCAGACTGATGGCCCAGCCCTTCACTCTGCATTGAACCTCTACTACCTACTCCTCTCCTCGCCATCACTCCGAAGTCACCTGCACCTCGAAAAGACAGCGAGGTTCTTCCGTAGCCAGGTCCTGAAACCCCTACGAGAAATCTTCCGTTCCTTCGAGTCCGATCTCACTTCCAAAGGAGGCGATGGCCTCATCGAGGCTGCGGTCGGCGAAGAAATGTGCCAGGTTGGCAACGACAGATCTGTTGGGTTGATCGGACTTATCTTGGACCAGATCGAGGATGTTGTTGCTGAATCATTTGGTACTGATGATGGAGACCTCAGAGATTACTCGGAGACGGAGGAAACGAGACTGGTGGAGATACTCAAAGAGACGGAAAGCTGGAACTAGGTCCATTACACACATTATGTCTTGTATGGATAGATGGTGATGTGAGTTGTGTGTAGATTTCCTTGTAAATTTGGCTCAGAAACATTGAACATACTAGTGTGTCTACCTTTTATTTTCTTGTCCACACTAGACCCAAGAGTATGAAACCTAGTTCGAATCTGCAGAGAACATGTCTTAGCCTATGAATAGCTACTACTGGCCTATCCATGGATGCATATCCACTGGCATTTTGCCTTTTCTTGTACAAGTGCAAGCACTACTAGTTATCTTAGTTGACCAACGAGTTCAAATTAGTGCTGAGTACATTTGGAAAATGCAGGGTCGTTCTTTTTACTGCTCCACTGCCACCCACTCTTCGCAACATTACCATAGTATCCTCCGCAATGAAGAACTCTGACAAGCTCGCGCCACATCTTGAGAGGGGCTACTACTACAAGGAAAAAAGTGAATTCTTTTTGGGCAACGGTCACATTCATAATAACTGCCACGACCAGCAGGTCCGAAAACTAGAAAGATAAAAACAGAATCGAACACAAATATCCATAACCCAGAACCAGAAGCCATGGGAAAAGCAACACCACCTCAACAAGAGAAAAGAGAGAGAGAGAAATTATTTTTGAGCCATCCAACTCGAAAAGTGCAGTGAAAATAAGAACATAGTAACCGTAACCCCGATTCCTTGATACATCCCCAATCACCCTCGACACGCCCTAAGAAAAATCGACAAACGAGACCCGGGTCGCGTCTCCCTCGGTGTAGGTGCAGGTGAAAGTGATTCATTGTCGACTTGATCCGGAGAGAAATCACAGACAGCGAACAGGAGAGAGAAAGCAAGGGATCCGATTTGATTGCCGGGAAAGAATGACTGGACGGGATAATGTGAAAACAACGAATATGCTGGTCATGTTTTTCGAGAAAGATGATTTTTTGGTTTCTTCCGAGTTTCCGTGGTGCTGTTTGGAAAATAATTTAAGACTTCATGATTGCCGAGACCATCGAGTCAGGTCTGTCATTGCGGTGGGTTGTGGACATGGTGGATTCTGTGGTGGGTATGTGAAGTTATTTACATAACAACGCAGCCAGCACCGGGGGAGGCTGTATTGAGGAATGGTCAGTCAGTAGATTGGAATAATGGTTTGGAAGATGCAATAGGAAGGGAATTGGAATGGACCATACCCTTAACGACGGCGGAGTTTTGAATCTGAGCGGGAGACATAGTGATGGATGGGTTGGAGCTTGTGAAAAGCGAAAGATTGGAAGTAAGATAGATGATTGGGACGATCGAGATGGTTGTGGATGATAGAAAAAGAAGTCTGTTGGGCCGGGCAGAGATGGGGATTTATACACTTGCTGGCCGAAGCTGCGAGGCTAGATTTCCTCGACTTCTATGCATTGGACTCGAGGCTGCCGGGGTTGACCGTTGGAGATTTCATTGTTCTGAGCGCTGAAAATCGGAGCTGCATGGGATCTGATACCTGGCTCTGATATTGTCCTAGCCCCTGGTGGCGTTTTCTTAATATTGTTGCCCTTGACGTGAAAGCAGGCGTCAACCTACCAGGTGTCCAGGGGTGACACTCTAGACCACACAACTTGTCGATTTATTGTCTCGAAGATGATTAAACGCAGGCACGTGGATGTAAAATCACACCTAGAATAGGAGGGATGTTAATTGTGCTTCTTTCATATTGGCATGCCACGAGGTTGGCACCTGACAGTGCTGGGATGAATTTGTGGAAAGGTACATATGTGGAATGAAGAACAATATTAAGATACATCGAGATAGATTCATTGAGTTGAAAGAAGCTCGCCGCCACAGTGGAGATGCTTTGAAATGGGGGAGGAAACTAGTAGTTAGGTGGAGTTCTTAATATTGTTCTCGGAAGAACAATGCTCTTGGTGCTGGTTGTTAGGGTTTAGGCTGACAACCCCCTCAACAGTGAATCTACCGGGGCAAAACGATAGCGGGAAAATAGTAATAATATGTGGGATTAGAATCAAATTAATTCACATGAAATCACTAAGGCTCAATTTAGATTGGAATACAGATCATTGCAAAATCGTATCGACATCAGTGTCCTCAAGTATAGAGGGGCTCGGTCAGATCGTTCAGAGTCAACCCTGACTTCGCAACATCCTCCTCAATCAAGAACATCAAAGGCATCTCAACTAGGGTTCCCTTGACCTGGCTTAGCAGCTCTTTGACCTGCTTAGCTCCCTCTGCGCCAGGGGCGAAATCATCGCGCACCACATGCCCCCACTGGAACCGGGCTGGCCGGCCCATGTCCTGACCATCGGCTTGCTTGTCTGCACCATGGAAGTAGTACTCATAGAACTCCTTGTAGGTGGCCCAGTTGCGCACACTATCA